CTGAGATTCCGATCAAACAATGACCAACACAAAGGCGGGGGGGTTCTCTCCGTCCCATGTCTTGCTTCAAATGGGAAAGTAATGTCTCCTCAATGTGATGATGAAGTTGGGATGGGAGCTATGAGAGGAGCGCAGAGCTATTTTTTGAAATTGTAGACTCACACTGCTATATAAATCCATCCACCACCAAGTAGCAATGGGCACGGATCATTATGGGGCCAATTCAGAAGTGCAAGGAGTAAAAACACGAAAATCAATATAGTTTACACACCCACCAGCACAGAAAAATTGCTTAATATTTTCATACCAAGAACCCTGGTGGAGTAGAACCACTTGCTTAGCCTACAAACGTAAAGGAGGCTGAAACTGTCTACAGATTTAAGACCAAACTCGGGGACTTTCAAATGCCATCACTAATCAAAGGGGCTCATCATTAGCCTCTGCTTGCCACCACAGGCTTCTAACTTACTGTTGCCTTTAAGTTTAGTGACCGCCAGGGACCTGTCAGCCATGCACTGCACTGATACCAGGCAGTAATGCAGAAGTCCTAAGGCTGCAGTGAACTAATTCAAGTGAAAATTTGTGCCAAGCTCATTGGTATAAAACGTCTCCCCCACAAGAAGAATGGAGAGATTGTGCAAATATGGGCCAGGATCAACTGCCTAGGCTTAGGGGCTTCCGTCCAAGGGCAAAGTTGATAAGATTACGGATGGAAAATGTCCTCAGTGTCCGAGAAAGTGTGAGGAAAGCCATTTAAAAAGTGGCTGTGAGCCAGCTTGGAAGCTATTACTATCAAGGCCAAAGACAGTAATGTAATGTAAATTTTTTGGGGGGGGATGTTAAGAAACTTCAGTTCTGTCTGCTTGTATGGTATTGAGCCCTGAACTTTGTCGATTTTGCACTGTTGTGAATGGGGCTTGAATTAGTTCACTGCACCCCTAAGCATCAACCTAGTGACTGTCAATAGCGCCCCCATTCTTTGCATGATAGCAGACATGTACTGTACATGCATCAGCTATGTGAGGAGAAGTAGTACAGGCTTAGACTGGAGGTCATGTGTTGGTCATGTGATGGTTTTAAGGGGTCTTGACTACAACACTGATGAAAGTAATCCGAGTTTAGACTATACATGTAACTGTATCTCGTCTTGATGGAGCAAATGGTTTTTTAAAAATGCATGTTTATGTGATTTTCATACCTTACTTTCCTTTAAGTGCCCATAGCACCTGTGCCTGTCAAATTTAAGAGTCAATGGGGCATTTTTATGCCCCAGTTGTGGCCACAGACCCAACTTTAGTTGGGGCACGGATCCGTTGGGACGATTTCAACCATTGTAATAAATGGCTGGTCCACTTGTAACTCTGTAGTTGGGTTTGTCCAACTGGAGCTAGGATGAATCTTTAGACAGTTCACTCCAAAAATGATACTTGGCTGTATTACAGAAACAGTGATAATTATAGTCTTTGATGGTGCAACAGATTTACCCCTCTTACTCCCAAATAAACACACCTAGATTAATCTCTGCACTACTGGGTACGAAGCTGCCAGGTCCAGGATCCATAGTGTTGTCTCAGATGTGTGAATTTCCAGCACCTTGTAAGTTTTGCCAATTAAGTGATGCATCTTTACCATTCCATTGCAGACAAGTTTTAAAACGTGAAACCAAATTGATATTGCAGTGAATGAGATATTGTTGGTTCTCTCATTTGCAAGTCAAAATAATTCATTGCTGTATTTCCCTGAGGACCGATTAATTATTACCAATGATGTTTGCATTAGCCCCTTGACCACCGTTTGCTTACACAGCCTTTAAAATGTAGCAGTCCATTATTTGGCAGCCCACATTCAAACAAAAATGCTACCCCCCTTTGTTTCTTCAGTATTACCCCTCGGTATAATAATTTGTTCCCCACCTCACACCCTTGGTTTTGAGGCTTATTTAAAAGTATCAGGAATCAAACAGTGGTTCAGGATTCGTATTGCTGTGTATTATTTTTATAACGTACGGTATCACTGCATGGTACTCTACCCCCGTTGCGTTGCAGTGTTCATTGATGAGGCAGTCACTGCTGAGATAACCGTTGTTGACATTGATCGTCGTCTGGTAACCTGCTCGGCAGCATGCATTGCTAGTGAGAGGAAAGAGGTAAGGAAATGTTCAGATTGAGGCGGAAAGGGGACAGAGGGCTAGTATGAGCAAGGAAGATAGTTTAACGCCGCCCCAATAGTTTATAAATGTCACAAATGACTGTTTACTCCCCTTAAAGAACGACTGGATCTGGAGCCCTGACCCTAAAAACTAAGCCGAAATCAGTGCTGGATACAAAGTCGTAGTGTCACATAGTGAACACATCTCCCCCCCCAAGTAATATGATTGTCTGGTTGTGTTTCTCCAGAAACCAGCATGCAGACTAATGGATGGTCGGTTCTATTCTTGATTGCATGATTGAGAGTGACGGTACATGTACGCGCGTGGCTAGCTGCGCACTGGCGTCTAATACATTTCGCACTCCGGTCATCAGAACGACAGTGGGACGCCAAGTAATTCACACGCAGCCGTTGGCCAACTTTTTCTTGAAAGTGCTAGATAAAGCACGCAATAGGCATTAAAAGAGAGAGTTTCATATTCGATTTGACACTGAAAAATGCTTCAAAATTCAGTAGTCAATTTTAAACAAAATAGGGACGGTCCAAACCAACTTTGCATTTGAAATGTGTATCAGTAGGTTTAGTGACAGAAAAATAAGGGGATTCTATCGTCAAAAATGTGCTTGTACATTTATAAGGTCCGGCATAGTTTCTTGATGTGGCATAACTTAGTTTAATAAAAGTCATATTTCTCTACCTAGAACCCCCTGATTATCATGTTCAATGCTATCCGGTGATTTAGGTTGTTTTAATTCATTATTTTTCCTTGAGGAAATATCTTAGATATCTCCCGTCCGTTTCCCCTTAGGTGGTGTTGAGTGGGTCAGTGAAACTCCTTGTGCCTAGACGTAAGCCTGTATTTACGCCAGAGCAAAGATGACACCAGGTACCGATTAACAATTTAGGCAACCGAAGTTCAAACTTGCTTTGAAAATGAAGCTTTATGTTAGTGTAAGCACATTTTCACCAGATTGAAAGGAAAAGGTAACTGCTCAGTTTTCCAGTTATTAAGAAGGGTGATTTTCCAAAGAAAACAGTAACTGTTTTTGTTTTTAGACAGCAGAGATGTCCAATGATTTTGACAGGGCCTGAACACGTGCTGGTTGGAAAATTATTCTTTACGTTTGTGACAAACATCAATTCGGTGCCGAAACTTTTAACAACAAAAATCAAAGCTATGGGAGGCAAGCCCCAGAACCGAAGTCTAGAAGTTTTCATTCATGGTGAACAGATGGCACTAATGTTGAAACCTCTCCGATCGTTCAGGATCAAAGAGCACGTTTAACCTGTGAGGTGTGAGCGGACGATTGAACAATATCGCCTTTTATCATGTCCGGCGAAAATTATTTCATTTCCGAATGGGAGCTTGGGAAATCACTTTTCCCCCATGTTTTGGGGACAGAACAAGTAATGAACTCTGCAGATGACTGAAATGTGTAACTTGTAATGGTGGGGCTAGTTGGTGTAATTTCGTACCGACTATCACAGTGGGTTCATTCCGTTCCTGCAAGGAGACGCAGTCAAGTCTTGACCTCACTGCACTTGTGTTCATTTTCCCTCTTTATTCGTCAGCGTGGAATTTTGGTTGTGGTGTTTGTAGAAGTTCTTAGCTTTGTTATACATCGATTTATTTTTTTCATGTAGAAAATGTTAAAGGTTTCTCTGATAAGAGTTACTGGCATTGATTTCTCTTCAATCTGTGTTGTTTTAGTTTCGGTCTTTCTCCGCACGCGACGATTTTACTGATTCCGATTTTACTGATTGTAGAGAGCTTCTGGTGAACATTTCCATGTGTTTTGCTTTGCTTATATTATTGCAACATCTGAAAAGACTAACGAAGAAATGGGCAAAAATCCCCATGCTCTGTGAAGTGGCAAACCACCACTTGGCCACCTCCTCAGACGCACTGAAAACTACTAAATGAATGTTAAATATTGGATTTTGTCAATTCTTGAGTTAACATGACTTGATTGAAAACTTAAAGTACCTTTTAGCCTTTAAAATACAAGTTACTTCCTAGTTCATACATAGTTTATTTGTGGAAGAAATAATTCTCTTCAACTTAAGGACGTCGAGAGGTTCACAGATTTTCCAAACCCATTACTGATTAAAGAGAAGCTTGAATCCACACAAAAACCTATTGAATCATCTTGTTCAAATTTCCCTTGGTTTTCCGCATTCGGATTTTATGCACGATCCACCCAACGAAGTGGTTAATTTCACCCCATGGTCCCAATTCGTAGAGAAAATGCCCGCTTGATGGCGTGCAGCGACACCAGAATATTTGTTTGGGGGCTGAATAATTGTGACCCTGGTTTACCAGTACTCCATTCCAGGGGCTATTGATCTAATTCCATAAAATACCACTGTCCTTCCGAAAAACACCACAGATTTGTGTGTGGTTTAGCCGAAGGCCTAGTACAGATTCCAGGTTTGTTTTTGTTACGGTTTCGTGAATCTCAGTTTCGTGTTTTATTAGGAAATTGGATCGCCACGAAAAATTATTCATCACAACCGAAGCAATTTAATCACCATTTGCAAAACCTACCTCCCTTAATGTTTTACAAGTAGTTTGTATCGGTCGAACCGAGAGAATTTGTGAGTTGTATGTGTGTGAGTGCGTCGTTATGGTAATCGCATTATTTTCTGATCGACCTTTTTTGTAAATTTACACGTAAATGTCGGTATGCCAACAGTGTGTTTCTGAAGTGATACCCTTCTCCTGTAAAATCCAAGGGCGATGCAAATGTGAAATTCGCTTGAGTTGAAATGTGTTGAATTTTTTTTGGCGAATTTGCAGCGTCATGTCACCACGTCATAGGCCACGTTTATATTTGCTTTTGCGTCCAGCATAAATTGCCCATTAGAGAACCGTACAAACAAGTATACAGCACAGTGTGCGAATCCATGGAAAGAGCTCATGTATCCTTCTTAAATGTATAATTTTTTATTGATCACTTTATTCTGTGATTACAACACATTTCAAAATGTTTTACTTTATGAGATTTTTTATACACCGCGGAAAAGTCCGAATACAAACCCTACTGCCTAGATCAAAGGAAGTGTATCACATCACTTAATGAGTAAGAAAGTGGAGCCTAGTAACGTGAGAAGGAATTCCTTGATTCAGGCATATAGAACTGGGAATGCTCAAAATGATCCTTAAAATTAGACCCGAATATTTCTGTCTCCGTATTTGCAGTAAAGCATTTTTTTTTTCATAAGACCGAGTTGAGTGTGTTTTGTCGGTTTATACGCCCACTTCATGGGAAGGCTCGGGTGGGAAACAACGGGCATCACGGTCGCCGTACGGGATAAGATGATTCCAATACATGCCGTCTCATTTCGTCTTATATTCAGTGACCTTAATGCCATATTAATCCTTCGTGATCAGGATTGGTTAAAAAACCAGATGATATCAAATACATCTGGTTACGTAGGGGAGACTTACTGCTGGTCTCCCACCTCTGTGGGTCTCGCCCCTTTCCATCATTGCGTCATCATGCCATTCAGTCATTTCTAACATTTTACGGGGGAAGAAAAGAAAGAAGTCTTTAACTTTTGTTTTAAAAACTCAGCTCCTGAAATGGCTACGCATCTACCCAATTTTTTTCAGGATCTTGAATCAACACGCCCCATTTTACCCTCATCAGACTGATAACGCGTACAGCAATGAGGTCAGTAGGCTACCTTTATACACACTGCAAACTGGTCATGGTAACACGTAGACATTATGGCATATATAACAGTTATAAAACAAGAGTATACATTTATAAATACTGACTGTTTAAAACACAACAGGAAACTTTTCGAAAACGAAAGTAAATATTCACAACAGCATCGCTGTGGCTCTAGGTATAAGGTCACGAACTATAGAGAAAAATCCTTGGTAATACATTGTGCATCTGTTACATTTCCCTGAAGGGTGAGGTCCAGGACCCGCACGTGTAAATAATTGTATTCACACATTTCTTCCCTAATGACGTTTTCGCCTTCTTCACTTATTTTTTCTTGACCATTCCCCCCCCCAAAAAAAATTAAGAAAAGGGTTTCTTCATTAAAGGGAAGAATACATTTTCATGAGAATTTAAGTACTGTGGAACATGCTCTGTTCTTGCATATGCGCTTAGTAATTTACTTCAGCGATGTCTGTCGACTGTCTATATTGAACGTGTTTCGAGGAGTATGTGGCAAACGCGACACCAAACCAGATAAATGCTACATCTACTCAGTACAGCAGTGCATGACGATTTCGTGAAAACCTCCCGGGAGAGTCACGACCCAAGCATTTCTGTGAAAGACCCGCAGACTATGATACAATATGTTTTACAGCCAGCTTAGGGTGCCATTTCCATCTGTTAATGCCTAATAAATATAAAGTATACTTCCAAGATTTCCCTGAGATATTTATACAATACATAGTTATAGCACTGTACACGGCACATCGCCTATTACTCCAAGGACCGGAAGACCTTTTGTCGAAACTTGCACACCAGCGCTGCCGCCGAGTGCACGCCCGGTTGTTCTGATTACAGAATCATTCCTGGGTGAGGTACGTGGTTCCGGTCTTGCAATACGAGTTCGATCTATGTAACTGTTATTGCAGCTTAGTCCTACGATGATACGGTCAAAGTGTCACTGCCCTCCAAGACCAGCGGGACTGTGCGGTCGTCGCACCGGCACCCTGCCCTGTGGTCGTCCGACAGACGGTTCCTATACAGGGATTTAAGGACAACCGTAGCCCCCACTGGCGATTTTCGACGGCATTTGTTTTTTGCCGTGCATCTAAGTTTCGATGAATGATGTGCAACTGCGGTATGTTGCCCGGAAGGTATCGTCAATAATCGGACATGTCTGAGAGGCACGGGTCGGTCGTCGGATGTGAACGGTGTTAGAGGACTTTCACCCTTGCTCGTGACGCCTTCTCAGAAATTCTTGGCCTCTTGAAACAGGCGGTAGAAATCGGCTTCGTCGGGAATCTCTTGACATTCCCGCATGTTATTCGGGTGCCGCACTTTGTTATACTTGGTCCAGTCTCCCTTGCAGATAATCCACGGCATGATGTCGATTTTGTAGTGGAGCTCAGGCGAAATCTCGGCGCTGATGAGCTGTGGGGTGCCAGCCCCGGGGCCCCGCGTGATCAGCCGCAGGTTCTCGTCGTAGCAACACTGCTGGGCGGCCAGGCTCGTGCTGTGCGGCGACAGCAGGGATATGATGCAGTACGAGGCCGTGGGTTTGTACACGTCCAGACGGGACTCCTGGCCACTCGTGTCCATCCAGCGGAACATTCGCCGCTTTTGCCGGTCCCAAATGGCGTTATTCCGCTCGAGGTTGGTGGGGTAGAAACAGGGGCAGGCGGGCAGATCTTGAAGACGAGACAAGTATGCGAGTAGTGTCTCGCTGCGGCATCCCATCCACTCCTCGCAGCTGTCCGTATCTGGTGATGAAACAATCAGCAATTAATGTAAACCCTTTTTTCATTTAAAAGGGGATATCCAAAACTAAATACCCGTCACATTCAACTCACAACAATTAATGAAATCATGAACAAAATGAACATAGTATTTAGCCAAAAAAAAAATCTGTTTTCTTTGTTTTTGAACATCAATTCATATTGCGTCTGTTGTTGTCTTGTTAAGTGGGTGCATAGTTGCCAGTCTAAAGTCAAAAATTCTTTTAAAAACAATCAGAAGCAAATAAATCGGTAAATGACGACCAGTTTGGTTAACGTTTGGGTCTGAATACACAGATTAACCATCAAAACGTCAGCCCGGGCTCTCACCAAAGTTATCCGGATCTAAGACTGTCTGCAAATACTCCGTATTGACAGAGGGGAGTTGAGGCGTCTCAGCGTTTAGGGTATCTGAGGGAGGGTCATTTTTTTCTTTACCTGCAAAGAGAAAACAAGTATTACTCCTTCTATGAAAAAAGAAGACATAATCGACGTGTTTCACTTACACTGATTAAAGAAATAATCTGTCACCCTTTTCCACCAATTTGATGGCTCAAGAGCAATGAAAGGGGTCTAATCATTTCGAAGATGATAATGAATTGAAGGTGATGAAGTCACCATTCTGTTATCATTTGAGCACTTAAAAAGTAGTCAACTCTTTTCAACGGGGACTCTGCACTTTGTGAAATTCACCCTGTGCACCCAGGTTATGGCAATGGGTTGAATTGAATTTGAAATCCTTGTGAGTAGCGTTTATTGGGGTAGAATGAATTACATGCAGTACGTATACTGCACAGTAGGCCTACGTGGGCATGCTTGATGGTTACAGTCCCTCGATTCCGTTGCCATACACGAGAAGCCACAGGATCGCGACCGCTCCGATCTGCCGCCCCCACACGATGCCGAGCAGGAAGACCACTCAGTCCACGTCCCTTTCTTCTCCTCGGGGTCATCTGTCAGTTGGAATTAATTTTAAAGTGAATGAGGAACGTGTGGGACATATCATCACGTAGCAAGGTTTGGATTTGTACTTCGCAAGTAGACTCGCTACAGGCCTTGTGTCATGTGAGAACAAGCAATTACATGTACATGTAAGTCTCAGACTTCCACGCAAGGAAGGTGACACGGTTCCAACGACTTTTCCTTGTTTTCTGAAAGCTTCGCCTGTTGCAGTTTTGAAAATAGCCTTTACATGAGACACCCGAACTAAAACGTGAAATTCCACATTCATTGAGGCTTAATGGAAATACCGGTCATGGTATAGAATAAGAAAACAACCATATTTTGTGGTCCCAAATCGTTTCCCCGTCGCCCAACAAACAACTAGGTCAACTTTTCTCATATATTTAATTCGTCGTTCACACAGCTGATTGCTGTCAAAGAGTTCAGATGATTATCCTTGATCCTTTCCGGCCATAAATGTGCGATTCATAAATGACCTCTTGACTTACTGGCCATCACTTCAGCGTTGACCGCGCCGCTTGCCACCCGAATCGAAGTTCGGTGGTTATCGTGCCGCGAGAATCCGTCCCCGGCCCAACCCTACCTTGCCCCGACCTTGGTTGTCGTCAGTGCCGAGTCGTCATCATCATTATTCCCTTGCTATTCTCCGTCCAGACAGCTGATTGTCGTCAAATTTTGAAATGGTGGGTGATCCGTCAGCGCATTCCATAACGCCCGCTTATCGCGTGAAGAGTTAATGGAGTCTTGATTTCTTTGCTGATGGTTGTAGTGGGAGGCCTATTAGGCATATTGGCCCTCGCCATGGGGAGAAGTCGTGGTGTACATGTACTTTTTCTCCTCCACAACCCATAAAAGTCCTGCAACCCGTGCACACTTTTGGACGATATTTTTGTAAGTTTCTGCCTGACACAGTTGTTATGCGGAAAAAAATCTGAGAGACGCTCGCTTGATTGTAGTGGACAATTACATGCATAGTATCCCAACATTTCCAATTTATTTAAACTGGGACTTAATTAGGACCAACTTTGTCATTTTGGCTAGTCCCACTTTACTATGAAAGAGGGGGGCTCCAAAAGGTCAGATTTATATTGCCTTGTTTTTATGCAAACGTCACTCAAGCCGTTTATCCATATTCCAAAATAAATCGCATGCCCAGTGCTCTCGATCTGACCTCAGTTTTGCATAAGGCGTGTATCAAGTTACGTGATGTGATCTTTCCAATCAAAGACAAGAAGCTTAAATGCGAAATTAATCGGTTCTTTCGACAGTAAAATATTTGAAAGCTTGTGTCTGGGCTTCATTGCCTTACCTGGTTCGAAATGTTGGGCGTCTGGGTCGGGCAAACGACGCAAAGTGACAAACTCAAAGGCGTAAGAACTATCTTCCTCATCATCACTGGGGACACTCAAGTACGATTCCTCCTCAGATTGGTCAGAATCCTCTGACAACTTTGTGGAAGGTGGGACCAAGTCGTTCTCTCGGTCCATATTCAGTCCGGGTCGGAGGGATTCTTTTTCATCGTGTCCCTGCGAATCTATCGCCGCCGGCGTGTCCACGGCATCTTCGCGTAGATCCATGGATATGACGACATCGTCTTGTTTAACTTCCTCTCCGTTCACGACCTCGATGGTGATTTCTATGTCCGGGTTGGGCGTGCCGAGATTCACCGGTCCCATCTGTGGGTTTGCCCCCGTCACGAGCTCCGCTAGGCGGTCCAGTGAGTGCGACCTGCCGTCTGCTGTGAACGAGGAGGTATCTTTCTTGCTTCTGTCGACAGAGAGTCCTCTAGAATCCTCATCCTCGTCGTCATCATCTTCGGCGTCTCCGAAGTAATCGTAGGTGTAATAGTCGTCCATATCAATCATTTCAGAGGTTGGCAGCGAGGGAGGCAGAACCTGCTCAGCATTCCAAAGCTGCTCCCATGTTTTTAAGCTACCCCCCTCGTTTCCGGCCAGAGGATCAGGTTCTTTTGTTTTCTGAACCGACGTGGAACTAGTGGAGCTCTTCTGTTTGTTTGAGATGTCATGTCTCCTGTTCGGCGTCACTTCCTCGTTGTGAGTTTTCCGTAGTCCTTCGTCCGCGTGGATGTCTTGCCGTGCCCCGGTTTTATTGAGTTTGTGGATACCCGTTTTTTTCTCTTGGTCTTCTGTCGAGACCAAATCTGTGGCCGGACCCGATGTTTTCTCGGTACCCGTAGCAGAATTTTCTGTTGATGGTACGACTCTACCTGATGAAATATCAAGCCCCTGCAAAACAGCGTAAAAACAGTTGTGTTTAGTTCCCAAGGATCGTGACAATAAAGATTGCTACTTGATCTGGGCTGCACGGCGACCGAGTGTCGAATAAACCTCAAAAATTCAAATTAGAAAAAAATTATAGGTTGACAGCACACAAAAAGACCAAGAATCTTTCTTTTCATTGGGACGTTACCTGACTAACAAGGCCTCCAATCACTTGCATTTGAAACTTCGAATATAATAAGTGTCGGCGAAGTAGTGTCATACATATCTACAAAGTTGTGTGTTTTGCTGATAAGAGTTTCGGTTTGTACTGGGTGACACATTCTAACTGCTTTTATCAAAAATATTTCCGGGGAACAGGCAAAAACATATCGGAGGGGAGCCTTCCTCCAGTCAAGTAGACAGAATTTCAGAGTTCACTGAACTGCAACAGAAGTCGCCCCATTTTTCTGGACTTTCCGTGCACCCGGAAATTTAGAAGATACATAATGTGATTGACAGCTCTAACTCTGGCGAGCGAGCGCACAGTTAAGTCCCTTACTGCAGCGCATTGTTGGCGATTGGTTCAATTTTGGAAGCAGGTGGAATAATTATTGTGCTTCGTCACTAGGGTACAATAATTCGGAGTAAGACCTTTTTGGTACCCAATTATGTCCGGACCAGCCCCTTTCCATAATAGTAACGTATTAAGTCCACACTACAATGCTTGATTGACACCAACGCAAAATTGGCTGTGGCATCAGTAAAAAAAGAGAAAAATTTTGGCAACTGTGATCGAGCGTTTGCTCCATTCTCAGCTCTACTTTCAGATGGCATTGATATTTTGTCCGCTCGGAAGTGAGACTGAGAATTACCTGACAAAGACTACGACTTTTAGAAACTGCATCCGAATCTGTTCTTCGACGAAACAAAAGGGTAGAAAACTACGGTACCCTGAAAGAGCCAGCTAAGACTACGCAACAAAATTGACGCCAGCCAACAAGGAGGTTATGAGTAGTGCATAAAAATGAGCACACACTGAAAGACGAGATCGTCGAACCAGTGGGATGGGGTTCACATGCCATTTCCCCTTTTCAAAATTATTGATGAATTTTCTTCGATCGACTCCAACACCAGGCCAATGTGGATGCCCACTGTACACACAGAATATAATGTATACCAGCCCCCCTTTCCTGCAGAAATGTCCCGCCCCAGGTGAGGTGAATGTACAGGATATTTAAATATTCTCAGTGGTGGACAGATTCACGGGTGTAACAGCATGCTGAAATTAAAACCATCGGATAAATGCTTCGAATCGAAGCTAACCGTCTTCCTTGACCGATCTGATGTCTATTAAAAACACACCTGTGAATTGAATCAAACATTTTACACGTAATATGCAGAGATGAGGCTTGGTAACCGTCACAGTGGAATCCCCAATATCATTTATCCACTCAGCCGTTCCATTCAACTTTATTCTTTCGCTACATATGGTTAAAGCGAAGCAACAAATTAGGCCTAACTGCTTGTGACTCAAGGTTGAAACGTGATTATTTAGAATCAGAGGGTACAATAAACAGGAGCGATTTCGCAGTAAAATTCTCTGATAAAAGAAGCGATATCGCCTTAGTTGTGTGTCTGAGGGCTTCGACGGAGATTAATAAGCCGAACGGTAGTTTAAAAATACGCCATTACACCATGTAAATACACCATCCTTACACCGAAGGATATCTGTATCGGCATCTACAAAGAAGGGCGATAAGCAGTTGTCTACGACTGTTTACTGCAAAACAAACAGTCGTGATTTCATAGGCAAGCGAAAATGACAGAGCACTATGTATTTGCTTCACAAGGACAATTTAATGTTGTTATTCTGAACTTCAAATCGTCCTTCTGTTGGGAAATAAAATTGACACACGTGGCTGCAGCCCGCAGAGAGCCGGTTCTGCTGACGGCTCAAAATCATGCAGCACCTGGCGCGCGACCATTTAAATTCTCCGCTGTTTCAGAGGAATTAAACAATGCCGTTTGACGGTGCGATCAAAGCAGGCGAGCCTTTGATGTCCGTATCGATTGAACTCTTGATATCTAACGAGGTTCGGGTATATGAGACTGTAAACATTAGACCGGGCTGTTCTCGAGAGAGATGAGGGGTTTAGCACCATGAAGGTTACTCTACTAACAGCCTGCAAATCGCGGCCTGGGCCCAGAACTCCCAGACCGACTGGTATTTTATGAGGCTAACCGAATACCAAGACTGTCGGTACGGTCTTTGACCCTCTGTGTTCGGTTTGCAAAGGTTTGTACCATCTGTTAAAAGAAGACACAAAAACACCACTCCGCAAGAAGTTTGAAAATGTCAATAAAGAAAATACTTCAGTCACAAATAATGCATCTTTCTACTCGTTTTTGTCCTCCTTGTGCTTTCAAAGTCGAGCATTTGTTATTTCTTATTGACTGCTCCACTCTGATTGACAGTCTTCCGACCAATAAAACTCAAGCAAAGATTCCCTTCCCATATCAATGATACGCTTTTTAATAATTGTTTATCAGACGTGCTGCCACTGCCGAAGTGTCTGGTGGGAAAGTCTACAATTCGTTTTAGCGTTAATCCATTACCTATTCTATTTAGTTCTGTTCCGGAAAATCCTTTTTGAAATATTCAAAAGCAGTAGCGTTTTACTCATCTGTGAACATTTGACATTCATTTTTAGACGAGGAGAGTTTATGAAAATATCCCCAAGGACGTCGCTACATTGATGACAACAGTCTGTGCCAGTGAAAGTCGGAAGTGCCGCTTTCAAGTAAAAGCCAGGGTCACGTCAGTCAGAATGTACGGAGACCATTTCGAGTATTAAACGAAAAAGAAGGATGACGCCCACAAAAATAATAAACTTGGTACAACACACTAGTCCAGAATTTGCCAACAAGTAGAAAGCTGAACTTATTTACATCCACAACACAGCAATTTTCGCAGCAAGGGAGGACATCACACAGTGACGTAATTGCCGCCCCAAAATAGCTACACGTTTGGAGTGAATTTTGCGATTGAAGATCGTACACTATCATTGGACATGTAGGGAATTGCCAGCGTAAATCTGAAACGATTTGGTCATGGTCCTTTACAATAAAAGTCAAATTCTAGGAATTCTCCAAAAAAAATTTATGTTTTGATGTTCCCAAATAAACAGAAAATAAGCAATCGTGTGGCGCAATTGTTTCACGGTTGTCAAGACACGTTAACCACCATTGTCGACAGTTGAAATTGGTAAAATATGATCAAATGTTGCAAAATGTTAGTCTGAAACCAATGGGAATAAAGGTGGGACTGAAAAATAAAGTTAAAAGGGTACAAAAAATGACATAATTAACGTTTCTGAGGAAAGGAAAGACAGTGTAAGTACAAACATTTCTCAACTATTGAAACGCAAATACCTTGGCAAAGGAGATGTACATGAACACAGAAACTAGGCAGAAGATAACCCGTAGTTGCGGACTCCTCAGTCGCATTAAAACGTAGTCCCCGGAGGACATGCTGATGATGCAGGTGCAGGGAGATTGGTGGAGAAAACTAAGCAAAGACGTCAACTTGCCCATTACAACACCAGAATGAATTCGAGCTGACAGTGCACGCACGTCCGGGTCTTATGATGGGGGAGGGACCTCGATAATGTGCAAGTTCAAAGCACGTTGGCAATCTCTTGTCCTGCGGGCAACGGAGCGAGCAAGGCGCGGGTAACTTCCACTTTGTCCACGGTGCTGCCTCAGTAAATGCGGATTCCACCGTTTCAAAGGAGCTCGCACGTTGTTTGTCTAACTTGTCGCTGGTGTATTCACAACAACCGCCGATGTTGATGTTCCCGGGGAAGGATTTGATAAATGAACTTGGCAGAGTGAGAAAATGTATCACAGCCGGCACGTTGCAGCGATCGCTATTGCAACTGACCGGGCCAGTACAATTCAGAGGACTAAGCCCGGAACCTCAAGTGGCTGATGGTGTGGGGTAGTGGTGGCGACACACATTGTACGTCGTATCGTCAAAGTTTAACGGTGCATCAAATCTCGCGGGAAAACAACCGAGTCCGATGTTTCGCAGGTACGGGCCAGCGCCAGACTCAAAGAAGTGATCTCTTCACTTAACTTATCGTGATCTGTAAATATTTACGTGTCTTCTCAATGGTTATCTCTCGGTTGTTTCCACCGAAGTAATTCCTGTACGATTATCTTTTGAATTACTGCAAAAGTTGACAGCGCCCCTTCGATGCGACTTTTGTCAGACTGGCACGTTATCATGCGCAGCGACTTTTATGATCGTCCATAAAGTCGCCGCAAAGCTTCAATTTACGGCGAGTTACTCCGAGAGCGTTGCTCTGTCGGTAATGGCTGCCGGTGAAGTGCTGAGAAAATCCGGTGAACGTGACGCTACACCAGTATAGTTATACCGTGGTTCTGGCGGTTTTTGTCAAATACTGGACTCATTAAAATATTGCCAAGCACATAGGCTTGTTTGTGAGCATGGAGTCGGTGTCATTCCGTGTTGCAGATAGCCACACACGGACCTTGCTCTTGTGCAATTTTTAAAAAGTTAACACGTCAGTAACAGAAAACCTTCAGCGACATCAGTCTCTGACATTAAAACAGGTTTTTGCAGACCATAGAGGCCTATCATTTCGAACGTTTATCGTGATTTTTCTCCATGATCTGGAATTTGCAGGAGTTTTAAGCGCATGTGTAGATATTTAGAGTTTGTTCGTCATGTTTTACCTGTCACGAGATGAGACTTAGAGAAACAGCTAGAGTAATGAAATTATCAATGAATAAAGTAAAGTCAGTTATTGCGAGGATGTTTCACGATATAAAAAAGGAGAAAAATTGTGGAGAGATAGTTCGGTTTGGGGGCTATTCTGCATGTGTTGAAATCGGTTGGGGTTAATCTAAGAAGAAAGAATGTCCCTGGGTTTACTATTGCTTGGTAGCACCTGCTAATGACCAGCTGTTTAGTGGGGTTTTGATAACACACACGCACACAAATGCTCTTAATATGGTAATTTTTAAATTCCAGTTGCATCTTTTGGGTCAGGTGTTGTCCAGGTGTTGTGGGGTTGGGTTTGTAGCTCTATGTTTGTACTAACGACCCATTCTCGTCATAATGTGACCTTTTTCCAGGGCATAAAGGGCCTCGAACATACCCCCTGCGTAATTGCTCTCAAGGAAATTGTGAGCGTCAGTTGTTTAATGCTTTGAGTTCTTAGGACGGAGAAAATTTACGTTCAGTGGTAACACTCCGTGCTTGCGTTGCAGAGCACACGCCCTGAGAGAATTGAGAAACCGATAAAAGTGAAATAAAGTGCAGATTCCGGATTGTAAATGACACTTTGGAAATCCTATATATTTCCGGGGGACCTGAAATTAAAGCCTTCTACAAGTTCGCAAAAAGGCAACCTGGTCCGGGTTTCTCAAAGACCTAGTTGACTCAGGTCACGAACTTCATTTTGAAGTCAGCAATTAATTGTGTCGAGTGTATTGCCAATGGAAATGAAACCGGTCTTAGTCTCTGGAGTCCGTTTTGTGACTGGTTAACCGCAGGACCCCCGAGAGATCTAACGACAATTTATGCTGTACACTATTGTATTCTTGCCTTTGAACCCGTCAGAAAGGATTATTTTATGCCAGTGATGTACGCTGGTATGTTAGGCGGCTGTCCCAATTTGATGGTATAGGTAGTAACTTGGCGATCGAGTCAAAGCATAGGGTGGAGTGGTTCATTGAACCAAGCTGAATCCGGGCAACTTTACTTTGTGGATTAGTAGTCTTGAGTCAACAATGGGGCAAAGTACCGGGCAAATGGCCGCGACTGGTCCTCGTGGTACGCCCCAGATTTTTCAGTTTCCCCGCCACCTAATTGCTTCTTGGAGAGTGCTAAGGACTTCTTGAAGCCTCTCTCGGGGTTGTTATGTTGCCGGGGTTTGTTGGACCAGCCGGTACTTTTGCTCCAGGAGGAGCACCGGGTTCTTTGATCTCCCTGGCGGCAGTACGCCTCCCCATCTTGAGGTGCTTAAAAAGCCTAGAGTGTTGTACACGATGTTCTTTTTTATTCCATGCACTTGTAACTCCTGTTTCCCCCGTCAAGGAGTAAAACTGGACTGTTAGGAAGCACTTGAAGAAATAAATAAAAATGACTTAATAATGTTGATATTAAGAAATGCGCCCATATTCTTGCCGAATTCACTCTGGTTTGGAATCACAGCTTCAGTTAACCAATACTGAAGCAAAGCCTATACTGTCAGTTTTTGCAATTAGTCTACATTGACGGGATAACCATTCATTCCCACGAGCGATATGTGGCTGCTCTTCGGGCAAAGTTGAGTGGTCTGTCTTATCGTCAGAAAACACTTTGTCGGGATAAGAGGATCATTTACTTAAATCCTGCTATTTTTGGCACACTTATGAAAGTCTTACTATAATTCAAGCTTGTTTCCGGATAAATCACGAAAGCACAACTTTTATGACTCGTTTAGTTATAGGCACTGGGGTTGGTACCGGTAGGCCTATACGACGAATTTCTGGGATTTTCTTCCCCACATTCGAACTATGACGATCCCAATTCTGACCCCCGATTCCTGTGCTCGAGTTTCATTTGAACTCCCTTCTTTTTGGTATTTTCTCCATCTTTAAGAAAACTCTAATTTTCTTCCTTGCTACCAATACTTGAAGATACAGAACGGTGCCAAAGCATAAATGAGCAAACCCCTGCAAGGTTAAGTGATGAAAATGCGCAAAAATATAAAATGCAACGGGAAAATCATAGGAGTCCACAAATAGCTGCATTGAACTGAGTCAAAATCATCAAATTGTGAAACCCAAGAAGGCAGCTTTTGTTCCAAACTCCCCATAACTGTCATCAGTGGAGACGAGGCATTGATGCCTGAAAAGTCAAGTTCAATGGCGGGAACCTAATGCTGAGGTTGAAATGAGCGTGTCGTGAGTAATTTCAGATGATGCCAAATTCTCCAACCCCGGGGGCAACGGTCCGGCAAACCGCAGCCTCCGGCGAGGCGGAGGAACAGGGGAGTACGTCTCAAGGGGCCTGGAGTGGTTCCTTGAAACAGCAATTGAGTCAGGACACGCAACCCACTCGAGAGGGAAGGGCGACAAAAGACTAGGGGAACCTTCTTGTCAGCCAGACACACCTGGCGTGCACTTGAGTTTGTTGACTTGGCAACTCTATCCTGACCGATTGTTCAGTGCTCTCCGCACACCTGGACATTGGAGTCGGTATACCTTCCCGGATCACTTTCAGCTCTTCAAGAATGCATGCTCCGTTTACATTGTAAAAGCTGTAAAGAGAAACGACACACATTTGGACAGCTTTGGTCTCTTCTCATCTATTGTGGGGCTAAATGGTGTGTACCGAGTGTTGGTGGCATGATTATTGATTAAACGACGATTATTATTGCGATAACAAACGAGGTATTGTTTTCACTAGAAGTCTTACCATTTTACATGTGTCTTCCTAATACATTTAGTATCAACCGTTAAAGAACGCACCACAAGTAAAGAAACTCGCGTTAAAAAAGAAGTGGTGTAAAGTAATACATTTACGTGTAGCATGTAACTCAAGAAAAAAAAAATCCGATTTCATTTGACCTGGGTGGATACAAGTGGCACATTTGCCACATTGTTAGTTCCCCCGGGAATGAGAGGAGTAGTCAATATACGCAGGTCAAGCTCTGGAACTCAATGGTCAACCCATGCCAATAGATCCTGCATGGTCAGCAGATGAGGTCACGCTAGGGTCACTGAGTGTGAAACTAGGCTACTAACATTGTAACTTCGAAACTAATGTAATGAGGTAATGCTTTGCCAGTGTTAACCGGGAAGGGACTGTGTGAATATTCTGAACGGAGGTGTGGCAATGTATTTCAGAGCTCTGGAGGAAGCCAATTCTTTTTAATGGGCCAGTGGTGTGTACGAGTTAGATGTTTCAATTTATGAAACGGGACAGCAATTTTGAATAAGGTTCAATATTTGAAGGCGAAAAAAAAACAATGGAGCCTCTCAAGCGACAAACAAACCCGACAACTGCTGATCATACCAAATTTCAAATAACAACAAAAACAACCTGCCCGACTCGAGTCACATGTATACAATTATAAGCAAATAAATTTCAGATGCCGTTGCAAAGGCGGTGCTTGAAGACGACTAATTCCCAGCGAGTTAATAAGCCTCGGTATCCCAGGGGCGGTCGTGGGCGACGTGACTTCTTGGCCCAGCAAGCGGATAAGTGCCGACTGTACGTGTTCTGGGGAAGATTCGGGGAATTTCAGGGGAACTCGGGTGCAAAAATTATTTCAATTTGACGGCCAGTAGCTGATGCATTCAAGATTTAACGCTTCGGGGTAGAAACACGTTGCTTTTTCAGATTTGCGCTACTCCTTGTCGCAAACGCGGCTTTCTCTTTTCAGCGACTTGGCAGTGATTACTGTGTGACAAAAATATCACAAAGATCCCGAAGCAAAACGCAGACTTGACCAGTAGGCTACTGAATGTAATCCTAGCATATTGCAGGGGACATGCAGGGTAGTAGCGAAGGCATTTTCTTGGGGGTGCCAGAGTCAATTAACTTGTTCGCCGGCCAACCTCGTGTCGTGTAAAATGGAAATCCATGGTACGATACATTCCATGCGTCAGGGGAAATGCCGACGGCCAATACCATATCGTTTATGTACCGATTTTGGATTCATATGCCGACCGAAGCTCTAGTGAAATTAATAATTGGGGGCACACACACACACCGAGTCGCTACGCCCCTTGGGACACACAGGAATGTATGCGGGATTTATATTCCATTCAAATTAAATGTGAACCGGATTGGACCATCGAGATATACCATCATCTTGGACCCGAAGTTACATACGAACCATGCACAACAATTTTTCATACCTGCAATAATCCCTACGTTTAAGTTGGCACATTTGCAGATTCTACCCCCAAATCGGGAACGTTCCCGTTCCGTTTTCCCGTTTCGTTGGACCGTTCCCACAGAAACACTTTGAGCATAGACCGTTCGTTCCTGGCAGCGTTCTTTTGGGAACACGTGTTCCCAGTGGAACGGTCCCGCTGTTACATTCACAATCGAGAAGAACGATTTCTGGCATTCGTTTTCTAGACCATGCATCTGAGGCATGGCAGCTGGAGCGCAGCATTTTGTGATTTACTCCTCCAGAAGGTTAACTTTTGTCCCGTTTTTCTTTTCCATACTCACCATGACATAGCTTACCATGCAACGAATTTAGAGCATATCTGGACACCGTTAGTTTTATTGTGTTAATGTTAATGTACTCGCGAGTGTTTTATTCATTGGCGGGCTTGCGTGGTACATGTACATCGCTGTTTCTACTCGTAAGTATCGACAATCAGAAATAATTTTGAAACCTAACCTGTAATTGAAGGGGTGCGGAGTTACGTCTTTTAAAATCACTAGAAAGGTTGAACGGCGCGACTGAGGCAATTAAGCTCGGTGTTGGTATTGCAGCCATAACCTAGTGATACACACACCGACGTAATCGGCATGCACTCAGCACGTAGTGCTTTTCACTTTTGTATCTCAGTTGAGAACAACATTTGCATCATCAGATAAACAAATGTTGCCACAGCACATTTCCATCTTCAGTTTACTTCCAATTCTTATTCAGCTGGCGTTCATTACCATTAGCCAATATTCCTATAATAAGGAAACAAACGTCTACATTTGTTAAACAACTTACCTAAATACGTCGGCAGTGATGTCCTCTTTATAGAAAGAAAAGAGGGAAGGGCTTTGGTTTTTGAGGGAAATTATAGGGTAAAACGTCAGCGTAAAATGACGCGACGAAGAGCTGTGAACGAAGACAAATCCGTGCACGTAGTGTGGTTCCTTGACCTGGAACTATAAAAGTTTCTTTAATGAAATTCAGTATATCCACAATGGATGGGTCAGGTAACTAGACGTGAAACAAACTGGCGTGATGCAGTCGTCTTTCGCCGAACTCGGGTAAAAAATCTGGTTTTCTTGCTTATATATTGTCAAAATTTACCAAAACTAGAGCTACTAGGATTAAGGAACGGACCCTCAAGGTCTGAATGTCAGTTAGTTTTGTTAGTTTGAAAAAGTGGACTTCGTTTTCCTTATAGGAACAGGGTGCTAATGGTTATTCAAATTAGGGCTATAAAAGAAAAAATGTCTACCTACGCTCATTTGTCATGGCAGGCTCCGTTTTTGGGACATTGAGTTGAATATTTGTACATGGGCAATATGAAGCAATCCGAATGAGGACATTCCGACGAGAACGCGTATTCCTGTCTAACCGTTCTCACAAAGGAAGACAGCGTTCCATGTGGAACGCGACTGTTCCCAACAGAACGGCCGACCGTTCCGGAACGAGAATAAGGCGTTCCAATGGGAACGTTCCGACCGTTCTGCATTATGCGACGCTCCCTATAGAGAACTATTACAAGTACACCAAACGCAGTGCTAATTATACACGCGTCACTGTCAGGGCAAACAGTGTCTGACTGTGGTCTAACCACAGGTCTGAGACTCATTCTGAAATACATGTATATAAAACCAAGGCTAGTATTCAACGAGCTCCAAAAAAACGAGGAGTCATCAGGAAATCTTCTTAGACTGTCCACCCCACTCCGAGAAAAATAATAAGCGCACTGAAGACGTGGACTTTCGGTAAATTTTCAATTCAGTTTCAAAATGCATCGTTTTCCAGCACAAAAGGAGCATTGAAGGCTTAACATATCTTAAATATGGACGCAATGCATAGACTGTTGTCCTCAAACTTTGGCGGTAAATCTGAATATGTAAATTAACCCCTTCATAAACAAAACAAGTTTTAAGCAGATTCCCTCACAAACTGCCCAAGTAGAGATCCGGTAGTTTAAGATACTTTTGCCAACAACTAAATATAAACATCACCTTTTGGTTGGTTTTCGACTTGACCTCGAATTCGTTCAGGACGGACATTTTATCCCATTAATTTGAATTAGGGTTGTGTTTTCATCTAGTATTTGGTTGTGTATGTATTATTATTATGGATTCTGATAGCTGCATGGGATTTTGAACACTTTGCGACATATTCTTTTACTTTTGTATTGACAGCCAACTATAAATTTAACGGCCACTTGTTGGAAAAACACAACGTTGACATCAAAAGCAACCCTATGGGGAATATTTGGGGGTATTCTTGAGACACTCTTGTGTTGCTGTCCTCCATGATAAGACAAGACCCCACTTTACCAAAATTTTATGATTACGTTTTCCCAATTCATTTGAACTCATTTGGATCAAAATAGATCACATAAAACATTTATTCACTCCCTTATCGATGTACCTATAAATACCTTATTCTACCCTGAAAGACCAACGGTTTTTGATAGCAGAAATAATCCAAATTTTAAACTTCCCTGCTAAATTGAAATCATAGCTTAACTTTCTATGCCAACTGCAGAGGAAATGTGGAAATGAAACTGCCATTTTAACTGATCTAATATGAATTAGGTCTTAAAAATTTTTTTTAAATTCAAAATTTGCATCATATAAATTTAGTTTGAATGAACTAGAATTACTTCTCTGAAGGATACCTGCAATTTTAGGGGACTGATTTTGGATGCCTTTTGAAAATAATAAAAGGCATTTTCTTTTAAAAATATGCAGGAATTTATAGATAATGCCCGTAAAATGTTTGAAAACCTGGTTTTTTTGCCACACCAGACCAGGGTTGACAACCCTCCTCTCCGTTTCTTCCCACAGAGGCAGATTTACAGAACGAGGATTTCTTTCAAATATATCTAATACAAGTCAAATTTGAATGAAGTAAAATGTGAAACAATTCATTTATCAGCAGAAACCCCAAAGTCCTCAAAAGCTGAAACAATAAATGTAAATTGAAACTCCCCCGAGCCTTTCAAGGCATTTTATTCTCTTTTTCTATGAACCCAACCACAATTCGACTTAGAACAATAAGAGTGAATTGTTTCTGATAGTAAGACACCTGCTGAATCCAAACTGAAACACTGAATGCACATTTAGTAGACTGAATTAATTAAGGGTCATTTCATCATCCCTAATGGCAGACACTCATCTTGAATTCAAAATGTTGCAATACCCAACCTTTCCCATCATTGCTTTGTATGTACATGTATCTGTCTTTAGCGAAGTGCACCCTCACCGGCAAAGACAAGACATGCTAGAAAGGAGTTTTTCAAGTGAGCTTAAGAACATACCCAGTGTACATGCAAAGACCATACATTCAAACAAAATTCAATCTTGCATGCTCAGTGCGCCCCGTGCCAAATACGTATGAACCTGCGGTAAGTTCCCATCAAAGGACCATCTTTAATATATTAAAACATACCCACTCTTGTTCCTGCATGGAGTGGATAAAGTCAACTGTGAGACCTGCAAGCAACAACAAACTCAGAACCTCTCGGCTGGGGGTCTTGAGCTCTGCTTCATCAGCTTGTCCAGCATCCCTTGGCCTGCCGTGGAGGCAAACAGGGAGATGATGGCCTCTTCCCCTCCTTTGATGGCCAGATCGTAGGCTGTTTCGTCCCGAGCGTTCTTCACTTTGGAGCTTGCCCCAAGGGCCAGCAGTTCTTCAACACCCTGTCTACCATCTCTGCCGAGCAGAACGGCTTCATGGAGGGCAGTGTTGCCCTTGCTGAAGGGAGGGAAAAATCAAGAGACACTGAGTCTTTAAAGTCCCAAAAGCCACTTTTGAGTTAAAGACCTTCAAAAGAATCTTGCACACTGAATAATCAAGAGGAACCTTCAACATTTTCACCAACAAGAGGTCCCATTTTTGGTAGCGACACACTGAAACAAAAACTCAGTTTTTCCTCTTTCTAATGTAAACTAAAACTAAATAGAATAAAAAAGTTTTGTGAGATCTTGTTAGATCTTGTTAGTGTGTTTGTGTTTTGCCAATTATACCGTGCAAGGCGGACACAGTGACCAAAAAAGTGATCTTGGGCTTTGTAGCTCACAGACAATGGTCTAAACAGAGCGAGTCCTGCTTTTATTTCAGGCTATGGAGTCAAGTGAAGATTTCTCCAGCACATGTACGTACGGTCCTGCCTTCTTGTTGATTTCAGCTCCATTGTTGACCAGTGTCTCCAAGCTGTCCCAGTGTCTGTTCATGGCAGCGACGGCTAGCACAGGGATACCTTCGCTCGTCTCGCACACGGCATCAGCTCCCTGCAAAGAATGCAGCGTAAAGGGTCACAGATTAGTCTGGAAACTAGACAGCAAACTTCAGAAAACATAAACATCACATAAAGGTTAGTTGAAATCAATTTCTCATTCAGCTCTCGTTAAAATAAATTTCAGTCATGAAAACCGAAAATAATTTATATTCAAGGATCCAGGCTCACGACTACAAAACTAGTCTGGAGACTTTGTATTAACTTGGAACTTGACTTCTGCCTTGTGTGACCAATGAAGCAACATGTGCAACAAAGACGATTACAGTTTAGAAATGGAATATTCCTCAGCCAATCCTGGAAAAGGAAAGACTGAAAATCAATGTGACAAATCATTCCAAAGGACTAAGAAAGAATGAGTGACCAACAAGACTCAATTTAAGAATCCATCTCCTTGCACAGAACACATTCAAAGAAGAGACAGAATGAAAAGGTCTTTCCACAAACTAGCGGTTTCAAACGGTAATATTACTGGGTTCTAAGAAAAGCTTTGCAGGGTAAACCATTTGAAAATTAATCTCTTCTATAAGAGTGGTGGTTTTGACTTTACTTTTCCATTGAAACAGAGTAGTTCGGATAGAAAATAAAAACCTCCCATTTTTCTGACTGCACTAATTTGACTTGAAAGAGGAGAATAGAAAGTTACTCGCCTCATCCAGGAGACGTTGAACCTCCTCCTCATCTCCGTCTCCCTTTGCTCCTAACTCCTTCAACAGGTCTCGGTCTATGGCCTGCAAGAGCATTTTTAAGATGCACAGAATCACTGAGACATTCTACATCTACATACCTTTCCAAATTGCACCAAGTTAGTCCAGATTATTAGGACTATTTTGGTGTGGAATTTTGTTTCTTTTTCAAGGAGGGGCAAAACGTTGCATTTAGGTCTTGCATCAAATTGTAATGATGAGCTCGGGATGGGGTTTGCAGTTCAAAGGCTCACTGTTAGTTTGTCATCTGCAGCTTTTTTCTTCAGCTTTTTCTTGGGTGTGGATGGTTTCTCTTGTTTGGCTGATGTTCCTAGAGCGTGGGATGTCTTGGTGAACACTTCATTTGGAACTAGAACAGGATTGAAACAGTCAATTTGGACAGTGGTAAAAAACATTTATTACTCACACAAACTTTCTTGACAGAGACCCAGACGCCTCCCTACACTGACAGACCTCAAATCATGTGCTCAGTCCATCTACTTTAAGAATGCAGACATTCACAAACCATACTTTTTCAAGGTTGGAAATGCATAATAATGGAAAAGCAATATACATGTACAATGACAAAACCAGCTGTTGTCTTGAGCAAATCGTTTTGGACCCGCCAACACAAGTTTTGCCACGGCAAAGACACACTTTGCCTCCTGTAAAAACCAACGGCCAGAATGGATGCTAAATTCAGTCCATTTTTGCAACTTCCTTTCCAGTAAAATAAAATTGCTTTCCACATTTATTTTCAAGGCAGTAATTTCAGCAGAACAGTTCCCTCAACTGCATCCCAAAAAAGCTTTCATTATTAAAACAGCTACTAAAATTAAAGAAGGGTGGATGATTTCTTGCACTCTTACCGTCAGTTGTGTCACTCAACAGGCTCTTCTTGGTTATTCCAAGTGGCTTACCGGTGAAGTCATCTTTACTGCCTCGTAGGACAAAACATGCCGTGATGCTCAACTCATACCCGTCCTCATGCACAGTGGCTCCTTGAAGCTGTGATCAAGACACACCAATCCAGTCAAACACACAGTGGGGGTGCAGAGGGATATTTCATGTCAGTTTACCTTAAAGGTCAGGGGGAAAAAATGGATGTACACCACCAAACTGTGCAAAAGACAGTTAAACTTAAAGCCAAAAACCTGGCTGACCATCACTCCAATTGCTACATAGTACTGTTTAATTTAAAATTTTTAATGAGTACAGACAGTGTTTGTCGGTACCAAAATGAATTAGACATTTCTTACACAACAGTTCATAAGACCTTGATAAAGAGCATATCAAATACCGATGATGTTCAGGCCCCGATCATAGTACAAGGGGACCAAGGACATGTCCAGAAAACTTCTTATTCACCGTGCAATGGACGGTTTGGCTTTGCAAACACAGGGTACCTGCCAAAATGCAATGTGATGCACACTGCCTGCAAGGTGTTCCCTCGCTGGTATTTCTGCAGGACTTCAATATGCTACACTTCTATCCAAACAATCCAACGCAGTGACTGGCAATTGAGAACCCTCCACTTCTCCGTGAGACAGTTCCTCCCCGCCACCTCTCTCGTCACCTCCTTCCACCCCGCCTTCACCCCTTACCTTGCCCATCCGTGGCTCTGCGATCAAGTTTCTGAAGTCCTGGTTATTCTGTGCATGTGCCTTCAGATGCCCACAAATGTGATCCATTTGCTGTCTCCAGTAACCTACACACATAGAGCAAAATATCGGAGTGAGCAATCATGTACTCGGCCTGTTCTACATTTATCTCAAGTCCATTGAAGAAAACAGTGTTTGACCTTACGAGGAAGTCTAAAATGACTTTTAGAAAGAGCGTTGTCTGTTATCTAACCACTTGTAATTCTTGCTTGGGCAAATTATTCTTAGACCTGAACAAACTTACTGCAAGAGGATTGACAGTCATTGAATTCTCAATGCATGTGTTGGACTCAACTTACTGACCCACTCTCAGTCTTCTCTGTCAGGTACCAAGTATCCTTCAACAGCAAAGGCATGTAAGTTCTTTCCTATGGACTGGAACTGGTTATGGGAGTTTTCACAGTGTACAAGTCGCCAACAGTTTCCAAAATTAATGACCAACAGTTCAAGCAACACACCACCAAACTGTTCCACTAAAAAGGTCCAAATTCTAGGGATACCAGTTCTACCTTTTCCAGGACTGACAGCAGTCAGTACAGGTTTCTTCTCCGCCGCGGATTCTGTAAGAATCCTCTGATCTCCCTGTCCCTTCCCTTGCTGCTCTAGCCTCTTGTTGGATGGGAAAAACAAGCCCGCAGTCTGTGTGCCAACGGTGATCTTCTCTGGCTCAGGATGAGGCATGGACATGGGAACCCAAGCTGCCTTGGCTTGTTTATCTATCACCTGAAGAGAGAAAAACACCAAAATGCTTACCTGAAACAAAACCTGATGAGACTGTGAGAGGATCCCTCAAAAGGAATCCCAACTAAAAAATTTTTCACATTTTTTGTTTTTCATATTCAGTAGGCAGAACATTGATTCTGATGTCTCATTCAGTTAGGCACCTCAAAGAATACCAATGTTTATTTGGGAGAAAAAGCTAAACATTGATTTCCATTGTTTACAATTTATTAAAAGACTTGCAACAAAGTATGTCAGACAATATAGGATCTATTTTGTTGTGTAAACTCACATTTGACACAGCAATATTTCCTTGCACGATACAATCCGTGCACCTTTTGAGTAAATGTGGATTTTCAGGGGAGGAGGGGAGGATTAAATACTTTTGAAAATACACCGAGGAGCTAAACAAAACAACTGCGTGAATCTGTGCTTTCTGCTTTCATCCATACCTGAGAGGTGCTCCTTCCACCGACCGTTATGCCGTTATTTCGAGGGTCTTCTCGTGGTGGAGGTTCTATTGAGCAGCCACAGGAATGGCAGAAGGTGGCGTAAGCTTGGTTGCTACTCTGACACCTAGAGCATGTCAGTAGGTGTGTTGTTGGTGCCGGCTAGATAGGCCAGGGGGGAAAAAACAAAGAGAGAGACTAACGAACAGTGACACAGGTAAAGACAATTCAGGAATGTCTGTGGTCACAAGGCGCATCAGCTGCAGGCTTGGATCAAAATGTGACGTAAACTGTACTGCTTCTTAGCTTTTCAAGCTGAAAACTACAAAATCGAGTCGGTGAGCTCTATTTTTGCCACATTTGAACCATAAAAATTCAATGGATTTGCTTCTGACAAGAAATGAGCACAGGAGAACTTTCTAAATGTGTAGGGTCTTAAATAACACCAAGCATTAACTCAGAATTCTATCAGTTTTTACAAGATAATACCAACTGAACAGTGATCAACAAAAGCAGTTATCTTTCTCACCTTAGCACCACACCAATCACAGAAACGAGCATCACTGTTATTCACTCGCCCACACTTGTTACAGCAGAGGAGCCGGCCTCCTTTCATGGGCAGAGGAGGGGCAGATGCCCCACTGTGAGTAGCCTATATGACAAGGCCAATTGAAGACATATTATTATGCATATAATTATACACCGCAGTCCACATAGCCCAATTTCACTGAGTTGCTTGGTAGTAACATTTGCTACATGTATCAACCACTGAAGGTACTTGCTAAGCAAAAACAGGGCACCAGGCAAAATGTCGTGCAATCTCAATTTTGGGGGGTCCGGTTATCAGGTAACTGTTGTGAAATGAAAATATTTGCTGGTTAATATTTTATGTCTGGTAGCTCTGTGAAAATGGGCCATGGTTTACAGTATTCATCAATATAGGCATTGTACACATGTAAGAGCCAGACTATGCAGACAAACTCACCATAGCAGGCCGGTTGCAAATGAAATGTTCCTGGCAGGCCACAGTGTGGGGCAAATTCGGGCATCAACTACAGTTTAACCACTAGTCAATTGCTTTTTAACAATGCTTGCAATGCAACCATACTGGAGCAGCACCAGTTGAACTATTTTGTAAAATCCCGTTGTGACTTGTGTTTTTCCACTGGCTATAACTCTTACAGTGTACATGGTCAATGACATCTCGTACGATTATTTTTATGTGAATGATTTCCCTCTGTGCTGATAAATTATACAGCCTACCGATAACCAGTTGTGCAGCCATGCCCCAGGGTCTGGTTCCAAATGGCTGAAAAGATGGTACAAATTACCCATTGTTTGGACAACTTTGGATGAAGTATAGTCAACTATAGTCAATGCTCAAACTTGCCTGTGGCTGACAAATGAGCATATGCATGTACAAAAATGAATGACCACCTTAAACATGCACAGAAAACGTCATCCAGAGTGACTTTACCTTCCAGCAATTGTCAGATCTTAGTGTTTACACTGAATACAAGTTCTTGTCAGAAAGTAATCAATGCAATACAAATATAGCTATCACTATATCAATGCTACATAACTGCTGAACTTTCGATGTAAATGCGTAGCTTCCTTTGGATTATCAAGTATGTGACAAAAACAGACATGTGCTTTGTCGCATTGAGACAGGCGAGAGAATTAGTCACTCCGACTTAAAAGTATTTTCAAGAAAGGTCATTTCAACTTCAGTATCACAAAATAATTACAAAACAATTAACAAATTTACAGTTGTTGTGTTGTTTATGGCTGACAACATTTACAAGACATCATGCATAAAAGTTAAAAGTTCAGTTTCGGTCATTTTCACTAACAGTTATCAAAATAATCAATGCAGTACAAAGTAGCCACTTTAACAAAATTTCCAAGTCATTAAAACATTTTCCTCAAAGACTGCTAGTTACATTACAAATGCATCAGGTTTAAGCTGCAGTGAAAATGCCTGAGTGATTGAGCAGATGATCAGCAAAGCACCAGGGTATGAAGCAGATCCAAGATGGCTGACAGTTGTGCAAAAATTAAAGTCCTGCAAGAGAGGTTAGTTTGCCCACAAATGCCAAGTTCATGAAGCCAATAAATGCGTCAGTTGAGCTAACAAGCTGATGCATTTATTGGCACCATATCAAAGCTCAGCTTTCACCCTGCTGGAATTCGTCTTAATAGGCTGTAGTAGCGACAAGGGCAAACCTGCAAAATATACAATGAGCTCTCAAATTTTAAATAAAAAGACAAAATGTTATTTGCTACCTTGGATCTGCCTGTTAGTTTAAGCTGCCATGACAAGCGCCCTCTACCCTTAGCATGTTAGGTTACTTCGGTGGCTTGCAATTACAACAGTTTTGTTTAAAAAAGGAAAACAGTTATTCCATATCCTACCTCAGGAAATACCATCTGTTATTCACAATGTAAAGTTGAAGAAAAGACATGAATTATAAAAAGCACAAGGATGATCTCAAATCAGCTCTGTAAACATTCCCCCTCCATCACATAATTATAACTATCCACTTTACCCAACAATCATTGAAGGTCAATGAAGGATCGACATACAAACTGCAATAAAAGTACATGTACCAAGAAGGTGAAATTTCAAAGGTTTCCTGGAGGTCTAGAGGAATGTTTTTTCTTATTCTTTTCATTAATTTGTTACTGACACCACAAACTGGCATCCTCTGGCAAATTTGTAAACGTGGAATAAGGACCCTCACATCCATAGTGGTTTGTATGCATGGGCATGACAGTTGATTTTGCTGTGGGTGGACTGTGGTTTGGGACCAATTGTTCTTAAAGTCCACCTTTTTCAGTCTGAAAACTAAATTGTAGTTTGGTAGATCAGGTTTGGGTACAAGAAACCTGAGTCTTGATGTAGAGAGAAAAATATGGAAAGTGCTAGAAATCAGAATGAATTCAGATGGCGTTTTCCTTCAATCATATTTATCCCTGCACCTTTACTCAATTTTTTTCCCCTCCACCAGCACTTACAGTCCAGGTAAATCCTGTAAAACTGCCAACTGTTGCTTAACCACTTGCTGCCGGGTGGATTTTTCTTGAGCAAGACAAGATGCCGGCTCATTTTCAAGATTTTCCGTTTTCAAAATTTTTCAAATATTCATCATTTCATTTAATGGCCGTTTATACCAAAATGAAGGACTCTTTGAGCACGACTCTAAAGCCGACAGTTAACCTTCATTGACTTTTGAATATTTCAGACAGGCCTGCAGCCTTGGAAAAAGAGCCCAGATTGTGCGGTGTTACGTAAGATTCTTTTGTTCCCGAAACCGGCACAGTGCACTGCTGACCTCTTTTCAATAGGGTCCAGATTAGCGTTCAGCGGTGCTGTGTGGCTCATCACTGCGGTGGTGGAGAGCTTTTGTCCCCGGTGGTAATGTGCTTACTCTAAATGCCTAAAACCGTGGTATACTGTTTCAAAACAAGGCTGGATTATCTCCACTATTGAGAGTGAAAAAATGTCGGTAATACCCAGCAGCCCAGTCTTTTGTGCTGAGCACAGTCTTTTGTTATAAGGCCCAACTCTTTTCCGGTTCCGGGTTCCGGGCTCCCCGGCTCTGCCTATAAAGCCTATGTACTCAAAAACGGGTCGCCCAGCAGGGAGTGGTTAAAAGCCTAGCTTTCAGAGCAATCTACTCTCATTGAGCTTCTGGTCTAACTCTAGTCATGCAATGGTACCCTTACCACCGAGTCAAGCCAGAGTTAGGCCTGCCAAGCTACCATCCCAAGTCTGACAGCCTCTGACTTTGCCTTTAGAGACAGGATATTAGTGTTTGACAAGAACAAGGATTCGTTTACAAACTCTCATTAAGTTTTCCATTTCACTTACCTTTGGCCACACCATCTAAGGGTACAGTTGGGTGAAACACGAGGACAGAAATGTTACGTTTGACACAAGAAATGCATGTTTATTATTAAACTAAAAATACACAGATTCAATGGTTCAAAACTAGTTGCAAATCCATTCATTTTTTCCAGCCCCAGAATGAAATAAAATTTAAAACTATTGTTACAGGGAGAAAGGTATCATTTACGTTAGGTTCATAGCTCCGATGGAAGAACTTTGCACAAAGAATCTGACAGTTGTTTATCTGTCATAACAAATGCACTCGTCTTTAAGCTACTCCTGCAATTCTCAGAAAGATTGACATATTTTACCTTCAAGTGTCGATTATTTCCAGTCAGTGGGCATTCACATGTGACACAGTACTCCATATTGGCTGGGTTTCCAGTCCCACACTCATTGCACACTAGCTTATCCTGCAGTGAGAAAACCAAGCTTCTTCGTATATCTACTTTGTTTTTCCAAAAATGCAACTTGCTCCACGAGAATACCAGTTACGTTGGAATTTTTTTAAATGAGATGTCGGTGCTTGCTACTTTAACTTACAAAGACACACGTTTGTTACTTTTTTTGAGAACGTGTTTCAGTGGCAAACAACGCTTGTCAAAAGTTTCTCACCATGTAAAAGACGAGCAAGTGATTTGCTTTCACAGTCTACGACCTTTATGTAAGCCAAATGTGAAGGAATGCTTATGATCTTATGAAATCTGAAAACAAAGCATTTCTGCACACAAGTGTGCCTACTTGCCAAGCTGTACAGCTAACATCTGACGTTTATTTTCACACTATTCAAGACAATTTGAAAACCGACAATGAGAAGTTGAAACAAAGTCAGCAGGGCTTTATTCTTGTTTTATTTAATGACAATTTGAGAGCTGGTAACCAGGAACAGAAGCAAACGCTTCTAGTGGAACAGAAACTCAAAGGGCCGATGAAAGTAGGACAGACTTTTTCAGTAGACCTGAGCCAAACACACAATGACACGCACAATACCTTGAGTTTGACGGAAGCTTGTGGAACCAGCTGTGGTGCTATAGGCATTTCACATATCAGACAACTAGTCACATTCAGCGGCACCATGGCATTGCACCCTACACACATACCCAGCTGTGTCCAAACAAAGCAGACATTGAGAAGACACGTATTATTACTCACAACAAGCCACATTTCACACTAGTTTTATCAACCTTTTTCGATAAAATCTCGTTATTTGGACAGTCACACAGAAGTACACCACAGTTGCAACAGTTTGTCAACAACGAGAACCGTACATTGTAAACACAGAGCACTTGTTTGCACCGGCAACTAGCAACAAAAATGCTGTGGTTGTTTTGAGCATGTTTGAATTATATGCATTGAAGACTTGGACAAATTTAAATTTTGCAATAAAGACACAATTCCATCTTGGTACATTATTGAGGGTCTTTGAAGGGTAACGCATTACAATGGTTAGGGAAGAAATGAAAGAGTTATCAAGTAATGCCTGCACTGCATTTTTACATTGTATACTAGAGGGGGCAAGGCATACATATCATAATTTTATGATGAGGATAGACATGTTGACTCTACCTGTGCTGGCTCTGGAGGTGGTAATCTAGCATTGGGCAACGGGGGTACAGGATTACCGCATGCTATGCAGAACCTGGCAAACGGATCTGCTGGTCTGTCTGCAGCACAGAATATGCACCTGTGCATGGTAGGGAAAAAAAATGTCCCGTGTGTGAGAACGGTCATTTATGAGGGAGGTTAAGACAGAAGAGCATCAATATCAGTAGAGATTTGTATTCATTTTTGTCTATCATGGAGACATTACGATCTCAGGATGATTCTCAGTCTAAGGAAGACACCGTGCAAGAACTAACGGCAAGCTTCTTACTTGAGAAAGTCAGTTTCTCGTTGCAGTCGGTTTGCTTGGGTCAAGTTCTTAGGTATAGCCTTCCCTTTATCCTCGGGCTTGGGGCTTGTAAGCTGCTGAGCCTAGGAACAGATATCAAGTTAAATGTTTTCAGCAGTGAAACGAAGAAGTTAATGTCACTTGATTCCCATGTGCTGGCTTTCCCCGGAAAACAAGGTTGCAAGATTGAACTGCAAGTACGTGGATACTGCACCATCATTACTTTTAATAGATCAGCAAATGATTCAAATCCATCTGACTTCCTGTGCACAAAATTTTCAATAAAGTCGGTTACAAGGTTCATGTTTGCTGGACGGAGAAGATGTGATTGTGCGGACAAAAATACAGAAAAACATCAGTGCAGTGTGAAGTAGTTCTGTGAGTTAAATTCCGAGTACTGGTACCCATGTTGTTGGTGCTGGCAAGATATTTCATTCATTCTTCAACCAACTACATGTTTCGGAAAGTGTGTTCTGTCACTAGATGTCTCAGGATGAGAATGGCATGATGGGTGGCAGAAAGATTCTTGATGGTCTTCTTTATTACATGAAATCTTTTTCATTTTTTCTGCATAATATGATATCAATCCCACAGATTTGATAAACAGAAACCACCGCTGTGGAACTTTACTTCCTCAATAAAACTCTGCAGAGAACCAGCCAAAGGAATTATAAAATCCTGTATCATTTTGGATGGGCACCATTTTGTTGGGGGGGTTCTCCTTTTTACATTTGGCCGAGTTTGTTCATACTGGGAGATCTGTGGATGTAGAAGTCCCATGACGCTGGTTCCTTGGACATACCTGGCCGTTGTGTTTTGCTTTCTCCTTGGCCGCTGTGCCAGTTGGTTTGCTGCCTAACCTAGCCTCCATGAACCGTGTTCCAGTGGTGGGCTTGCGGTAGTTGGATCCCTGGACTGGTTTCTGGGACTCCTCCAGCACTTTCTTCATGATTGCCGCTGTTGTCTTGCTGGCTGTCAGCTGTGAGACCATGGCAAATTAAACTTATAACCCAAACTCCTTTGGTGCAGTGTTAATTACGTGGAATCCAGTTCCGCAGAGCATGGTTAGCGTTAATGCTTAAAATTTTCACAGGTTTACTTGATCATTTGTCTTTAGTTCATTTACTTAAATGAAAAAGGAAGTTGACTAAAAATGTTCTCTGTGACTGCCCGTTGGGAAAGTTAATCATAGTGTGTGGCCTATCATGCCCAACAGAAAATAAATCCCAACAAAATATTCAAAATTCATGTGAGGATAATAATCTATGTTTTCACAATATCTTGGCAGGTGTGACAACTATCTAAGCCTAATATTATTGTTTGACTATTCTTAATGCAAAGATGTTTAAATAAAAAAATAACTACAAATGTATTAAATACATTAATAAAATCTTTAATTGCTAGTCAGGGCAAGCCTGGAGTTTTCATGAAAGGAATGTCTCTAGAAGTTACTCAACCTGAAGGCCAGGTGTCTGCTTGCGAGCGATGCGATCTTGAAAGCTCTCATCATCAGTCTCGTATTTCTCTTGGCCTGGTGCCCACTCCACTGTGAAGGTCTTGCTGACGATGTTACTCTCTCGATTTCTTTTACGAATGAGGCACAGAATGAAGGGAGATATTTATATCATCTTGGAAGAGATGCCATCCAAAATTTGGCTTGAAATCAAAGTGCTTCGATTTTTTTTCTGTTGGGTAAGTCCATTGAAAAAGATCCTATGAAGTGAGCAAATTATGATCTCTTTTCCCTTCTGCTATTCACACTGAAAAGCTTGATGCAAAGAAAGCAATAAATACAGAAGTCACAATACAAGTTGGTTTAGTTTGCTGAACTGTGGATGCTCTTTTTACATGAAGGCCAGTATTTTGAGAAGTCTTGATGATTTCTGGAATAAAAGGGACGGAAGGTTAAGACACGACACTTGAGGGATTTTGATTGCCTGTTCTCAGTGGGAAGACGTGACCCTTTGCATCTGCCCGCTCACACTAGGTATTCTAAAGTGGTGCTGTTCACCTTGTGTGTGGTGTGCCAAGTTGCGAAGAGCCAGCTCCAATTAGTCACATTTTCGGAACACTACCTGTTGCCAAGGATGCAATGTGTTGCAAATGGGGAATATTCACAGGAACATTAATGTTCCAAGTTTTGAGACAACCACAAATCTAGAGTGAAAAAAAGCTGACTGCTTCAGTCGGTGGCATGTTTCTTGATTGACAGGACTTACTTGGTTATTGCAATAGCCCTAACTGTTTTCCTCCCCTCCTGGAGAAGGAAAGGTTTCTTATACTGTTGTGTCTTCCGCACTCCGATCTGCTGGAAGGGATCAGGCTTTGAGCCATCGATGGTGAAGTAGATTTGAGTTTCGGGAAAATCTGAGGATTGAAGAAGATGACGAGACGAGTAAAATACTACTGCAAAATGGAATCGTTGAGTTAAACCATGAATGTGCACATTGGCTGGGTTCTAATGTGCTGAGGAAAGGAGCTTAAGCTATTTCTTAGACCTAGAAATACTTCCTTGAGGGTACAATTTCAATTGAGAATGTCAGAAATCCCCCTACCTGTTTAAAAAGAGGTAATTAATCAATACAATCGATTTCTTAAATGACAGTACGCAGGATGGAGTCTAAGCGAGTAACAGAACTTTGGTCATTCCTGATCAATTTGGTAGAGTCATTTTAACCGCATCCTGCTGAGGGCATATATAAATGTTGATTCTGCTGGGACGCAGATTTTTTCATTTTTTTTCTGTTTTCAAAATTCTTTAAAGTTCCTTTCTTCATTTACTGGACACTTAAACCAACAAGAAAGACTGTCTGGTTTCTACTCTAATCTGACAGACAACATCTATTAATGCCAGATTATTTCAGCCAGGCCTGCAGCCTTGTAAAAAGAGCCCAGATCGTGCAGTGTTACGTAATTTCTTTTGTTCCCATAACTGGCACAGTACACTGCTGATATCTTTTCACTAGGGGCCAGATTAGCGTGCAGCGGTAGTGTGTGGCTCATCGCTGCGATGGTGGAGCGCTTTTGTCCCCGGTGGTAATCCGCTCACACTGAATGCCCCAAACAGTAGTATACTGTTTCAAAAAAATGCTGGATTATCTCCACTATTGACATTGAAGAATGTTGGTAATTCCCAGCAGCCTGGTCTTTTATTACGAGTACAGTCTTTTGTTACAAGGCCCAGTTCCCTTTGTCCAATTTTTGGACACCCCGGCTGTGCCTATAAAGAATACGTGCCCGAAACCTGGCTCCCTGGCAGCAAGAGGATAAGAACCCAGAGAGCCAACAAATTCCCTCTTTTGCAGTAAGTAATGCTTGCTTCACACTTTGCAACTTGGATTTCGAGAACAAAACCTGGCATCTTTAGTTTATAAAATGGCCTCTGAATCCTTTTAGTCAACCTAATATAAGAAATCTTGAAACTTGATGGCTCAGTCTGATACTTTAACATAGCCTCTCTCTCCTCCCAACTCCAACACAAACTCCCACATTGGTTATGATGAATGTAAACAGGTCCTACAGGGAGTTTTGAACAAACAGTTGACAATCACTTATGTCCTGTAACGTAACAGCAGTGCCATGACACTCCAGCTCAGTCATTATGGTAACTTACACAACTGGATCAGTTCCACATACCTGTCTTGAGCTCAATGTAGGTGTTGGTGTCAATCTCTGTCTGGGATTTTCCAGCTACAGGCAACCGCAATGGAATAATGGAGGGAGCTGTTACTGCACCTGCTGCCATCTTGTGGTATCAGTTGACCTTGGAATAGTACACCTGGGGAGTGCAATGGGGAACTGGATCAGGATCGTGTGTAAGCTGTGATCAGATCACTTAGATGACAAACACAGTTTTTCACACGGAATCATTCAATTTTTAAACCTGTCATTTTTAAACCTCCTTTATGAAATACAAAGTTCCGAGATACATAGGGCTCTGAAAGATAGAAGCCTAAAAGTATATTCTTACCACAAACACAAAGATTTGAGGAAATACTGCATCCTAACTTAACAGATCCTGTCATTCCAGCTGATTAATAAGACATGCTTCATAGTATCCAGCACCACGGAACACACAGCAATGAATACTTGAAATACACAGGATTCTGGTGACGCTTTTGCAATATACATATACAGCTCAGAAAGGGGGGCGGGCAATAACTGGGAGTTGAACAGCTTAGATCTCAGGATGTGCAAGCTATCTACTAGAACACAGACCCTAATTGGAATCTAGTGGTAATTTAATAACCTTTACAGACTTACTCTTGTATACATATCAAAGAGGGCGCTGTGTACTTGCATCCGGCTAAATACCATTTAAAACTAGCCAGCGACAGCTAAATACCTGTTCAGCACAATCTCCGAAAGTGTGCAAATTTTTAATTTGCACAATTTGCTCAATTTTTCTTGAGCAATTTTCAATAGGTGGGCATATTTTAAATCTCGAACTGTGCGATTTTTACATGTTTAACAGGAGTCATGTTGGTTAGTGTTCAACCAGGCCCGGCCAGCGGTTCAGGGATTTCCGTTCCCTTCAAAGTCTCCAGCTGTCTGGCACCAGTCAAGCTGGGAAGCTGTTGCCTTGAGTAAAGGCTACAGTTCCAAAACAAATTAAGAGTTTGGAGGGGTTGTTTCAAAATCTTTATTTTATTTATTTTGTCTGGGATCCTACTTTTATTGCTGATGTATTTCGAAAATTTTTAATTCCCTGTTTCTTATTAATAATGCATGTACAGCTCTTTTCCAAATAAATGTCAACAGGGGAATTTAATTGTTCTCACATGGCAAAATGCCCGTATGGTGAAATTTTGTCTGATATGTTGCAGCCGGCCAGCACGACACGTGACGTAATATGCCCCGGCCCCAAGTGCGTGCCACAGTGTACGTGTGACACACAGCAACATAGTGAAAGAGTTCACTCTCAGTCCAATTACTTGGACTATGATTGACCAAGTCCAAGTGACTCGGTCTCTACAATTGTCTCTTTTAACAGTTCAGTTGGACATGGTCGGTGATACAGTCCAAATGTTGAAACATGGAGGAATTTCTCCACGGTTGAAGGAGGCAATTCGCGGCCAAGTTACTCGGACTTACTTTAGCACTAACGTTAGCAGTTATCTTACCCCCAGAACTGTGGGGTCCGACGTTCGCCCCGCTCCCACCATGCCCACGAAACGGGGCGGACGTCGGACCGGACCCCACAGTCTGACAGTTCTGGGAGTACAGTCATGACAGATAGGCCTAGGGCCTATGCTATGTTTTAATCACGTCAATCTGCATTCCAATTACTTTTTGGGGAATTTTGTTAAACATGTGCTTCTTCGTGAACCAAGGTCTACTGCCTACAACGAACAAAAACTTGAAAGAAATAACAAAATATGAATGCTGCGGAACTCACTCTTCTTCTTCTGAAGCGGTAACCGTCAGTTTGGCATTTGTTGTCAACAGCAGTCAGGGGTCAAGTTAAGGTCGCACCATTAAATTTAAGAGGGGATGTTGATATTTTAATATGTCACACTTTTTGTATATGGAGAGAAATATTTCATTCAAAGTATCATAATTTACAAAAATATACTGCAAATTATTTTTGAAAATATTTTTTATAGAAGTATTATCGCTCTTAAATATTCATCCTATAAAATTTTACAGAACAGCCCCCCCCGTAAAAGAAGAATGAATAAATGGACTCTTGAGGGCGCGGTTCGCATTTTGAGATTTTTATGTATTGTGGATGAATGGAAAAAGAGAAAATGTCAACTGGATCCAAAGTTTCTGTTGCTGCATCTGTTGTGATTGCAGCTGGGATCATTGCAGGTGTTCATTATAAGAAGAAATCCGACCAAGCTGTAAGTGAGGATGTTAACTAGACGTCTGCATCATGTGCACGTTGAGGAAATTGAATTGGTAGTCGTGGTAGTACATGTTCCATCATGACCATTCCAACCTTGATTGAACTTCAAACATACAGTCAGTTATACTTAATCTTTCACCTCCACATTTTCCGGCGTATTTTTCGACATGCTCAACCAAACAAGCTATAATATTGTACTAGGCAATTCTTAGGTGGAGTTGAGAAGTTGAATAAACCTTTTCGACGTTCGCAATGCATTATGGGCATGATGGGTTCTAAGTCACTATCTCTGTGATACGCCATGTGACTTAGAGGAGACAAGGTTTACATGGCGTCTTAACGCTATAGGGTTTTAAAATCGAATGTTTGTGGTGAAATGGTTCACAGCCGTAAGAAAATTATTATCAAATTTTCCCCTGTCAGCATACCTGCTTAATCTATACCTCCTAAAAAGCTAAAAAAGCTAAACCTTGTCTCTCCTAAGTCACACGGAGTATCACAGAGTTAGTGTTTTAGAGTTTTCGAAGTAGGTTGGGGTGACAAACAATTAATATGCACAACCCAATGGGAGAAGTGTACCCTCAAAACGTTAATCTACTCCCATTTTATTACATATTCCAATTCAAGCCATCCTCTTCTCACAGAGTGCTGCATTCAGATTTGGGATGTGGATATTCACAAAGTTTAAAGTATTGCAGAAAAGAAAAATTCAGGGAAGTCCTTCCAACGACACAAATTTTTGTCATAGACCGTGCTTTGAATAAAATCGTGACTATCAGTGTCCTGGTATTGGCCAATCAATATCACGACTTGTAGCTCATTCATTCCGCATTGACCAATCACGTTATTTTCACTTGTGCGCTTTAATAAAAACATAATTGAGGGTGATTTTTCATCTCACAAACATAGGAAAAATTATTTATTTTGAAAATCTTCCTTGTGTACTACATGTACGCATGTATCTGTGAGGTGATGAGCAGATACTTTAAAATATTCTGAAGTAGACTGTAAAATTGATTTCTTACTGGTTCACTTCCCCTGAGGTTTATGCATATAATGCATTGCCTGTTTGTCATTCAAAGCCCCATAATGCATTGCGAACATTGAAGGGGTTTAATGTTGTGAATTTACCCAAGTTAACCAGTAATTTTTCACTTTTCTGTCAACAAAAAGTCTTTTCATTTTCCACATATATCAAGCTCATTGCTTGGTTAATCAGTGCATGGCATTGCTATATCATTAGCACTTGATACACCTGACCTTGGGCCTTTGCACTGAGCATAGACAATCTCATGTTGAGTAGTGTGTCTGTGATGAATTTCTGTCAACAGAGGCTGCGTCAAGGTGTTCAGAGGGACTTAGAGAGGCAACGGAGGAAACAACAAAACCGAAGGGACCTGGAGGAACAGATTGCCTTGACAAAACAGCTGGAGGAAGCAAGAGACCGCCGAGAACAGAACTTGACCTCGTGATGTGCTCAAGTGTAACTTCATGTACGGTGAATAGGACGCAGATTGGCATGACTTGTGCAGAAACTCAGAAGAACTCCACCAAGTTGTCATGAATGATGAATGAATGTGACGGTCTGAGAAAGGAAGTGTAGAACTTCTAGGAGCTTCCTGTTACCACCTGACTGCCACTCATGAGCACCTCAGATTGTCGTGAGACATGTGTTTGCATCTTGACTTTCGATAACGCACATTGTAACCTCTTTAAATAATCCTGTATCATTCACTATTTTAGGGTGAGCAAAAAAAAATCATACCTTGGCACATATCAGGATAACGTTCCAACTTCGAATTACCAGTATAGTACATCAGAAACAATGTAAAGGTAATGATGTTATGTAATAGTAACTCTAAGGGCTGAACTTGAATGCGTAATGAAAAAATGTTATTTATAGAGTGCAAGGTGCCTAGGTGTGCCTTATCTTTTTTAAGAGTCAAACACCCTGGTTCTTGGTGTAATGATAAATAGGTTCCAAGCCCAGTTCACACAGAACTTGTTCAGCTGGCATTATGGCAAATATTATTTATTATTATGCTTGTTGAATTTTCTGTGGCCCGCGGATTTCAGGATTTTTTGGGTCAAACCCCCTTCACTGAAAGTTTCTTGCTACCCACTCACTTAAACATCCATCATCTTAATTCTATTTCAGTCAAGTATCTTTGATCATTCTTACTCCATTAATGAAAACTCAAGTAAGATTTGATGTATTTATTTGTTCTTTAAAATTAAAGTTTGCAGATGTCAAGGCAGTGCATTTAAAATGTAAGACATCTTAAGGTGGAGAGGTTAGAAGTAAATTTCAAGCCCGTTGAAACACTTTCCTTTAATACATTCGAATTCAAAATATATATGTACATTAATTTCACTGGAGCTTTTGTCAAGATATCAACACAAATGTATGTTACAGAGCTCTGAAAAGTTTAGCAATTTGTAAAGATCAATCAGTTGCATCTGTGGTAACTAAAAGTGTTAGTACATATCAACAAAGCTTGAATTCAATCATAATTGTTTACTGGACGGTTTGCTCCTTACAAGCGCTGCTTGTCTGCCACACAGTGGTGTTCAACTGACTACATCTTTTGAAAGTTGCAGGTCAGTGTTGCCTGTGTGGGCAAATTATTGATTTGCCTGACTTCAAATTCTCTATTTGAGTATTTTGTGGTACATACATGGACTGGATAGTTTGTATAAAAAGCAGCATGGAGGCTACCAGCAGGACTGACATGATGTGTTTCAGAAAATATTGGACAAAACAGGGCTCTCTAAATCGATCTGCTTTGCAATGGAGCGTAGACATTGATTTTCAAGATGTTGATGGGCTTCACTACTGTTTTTAAGGGTGATTATCTCAGGATAGAATTGAAAGTAAAATTAAAGATTGCGAAAGGAGCTTTAATTTGATATGTGTCTTGAACTCCTGAGAAATGTGTATTTTTTCCTGTTTTTTGTTTTTTAAGCGAGGCATTTATCGCTGGTGTCTATGGCAGCTTCTTCATTCGCCCGCAACCGTAAATGAGTTATGCCAACGCCCTCACTTGTCTGGAAATTTAAAAAAAACAAGAAAGTAGGGGTCATCACGACTTAGCCTGGGGAAGAGCTTACGGCCGGTACACTCCATGACTCCTCATAAACTTGGCAGAAAGGTCCATCGACCATCGACCTTTTCTTGAGTATACTTTTTTTTGGGGGGGAGCATGAGAGAAAAGCAAATATTGTGTAGTTTTTACGCTTGTATAAAGGAAGAATGTAAGAAGTGACGTGCTTCAAATGTCTACAAAACCCCGCGTTTAGATTATATCGACCGTTTTATTCGGGTGCTCGGTTCGTGTATTTGAATATTATTACTGTAACCATTCTTTTGAAACACCATTGACATCGCAAAAAGGCTTGCCGTCAAATCTAGTTCTGAACAAGACCTTGACAGTTTTGAGGAGATAAGGATTCACAAACTACACTCCCACAATGTAGTGAGGTTAATATAATTTCTATCAAACGGGATGTCCTTTATGAATAAATATGTAGGTTGTGAATTCATTTAATTTGGTGGTTCCGTTTTTGTTACAATTTTTTTTTTAATTCCAGTTTAGCATGTAGCTTAAACAATCACACTATGCCGCATCTGATATTGTGCATTAAAAAAGTCATGAGCCAGTCGGTCGGCTAGTCAATAACTGCTTATTGGAGGAGTCAACATCCATGCACCTTCAAACTTAACAGTTCATGTAGGTCTGTGAGGTGTTCGTTCACCCGTGAATAAGGGATTGAACTATTGGTATTCACATGCTAATAAGATTTTAAACAACCTTTCTGATTGGAGCAAAAAGTTCAAGTTAAAATGGACGGGCGTTAATATCGGCCAATCAGCTTGATTCTAACATCATATTTAGACAAATTTGTGCTCTTTGACTTAGAGCTCGAACGAAAAAATTGGTTGAGGGCTTCCGAAGTTATGAGTTTGCAGTGAGCCGAGGTGTGACCGAAATCGGCCTGAAAATCGTTAGCGCCGCTATAAAAATGCAGATACCGACTATTTCTACTTCGAAATTGACGGGTCTTCAAAGTCATTCAAAACTACTATTGTTATACTATTAGAAAAAGGACTAATGAACATTCAACTTGCCGAAAGAACAAAATTGAAAACACTGAGCGTTCCAAAGTTATGCTCTCAAAAAGAAAAAAAGTGCTGTTTTGGGAGGTGTTCTTATGGATTTCCGCTTCCCAGCGGATGCTCGTCGCTTAGGTTACGCTAAGAAATTCATATGCAGTGAGCTTTCCGGGGGGGGGCTTTCCGCGGGGAGGGGAGGGCAAAGCCTTACAAAGCTCAAAGAACCGGCTCGGGAGAAGGGTGAAATGAGGCTATCGAACAGACTGAAGAAAACTCAAAAGAAATCAAAATGTCTGCTTTCGTGAACATTTAATAAGGCCACCGGCCTCCAACAAAATACGAAAGGGACTGTAAATGACAACGAGACGGAGCCAACGCCCTGTGGCCAACTGCACTGAATAAAGACCACAGCTTGTTTTTAACTCCACGGCGAACAATAAAGAAAATTACAAACATTTTAAGTGGCAAATGTGATTACGTAAAACAACAAAAGCACTAACTGGCTAAGAAATTGCAATCAACTAACAGTGGAAAGTCAATTGTTTGTTTTGTTTTGTTTTTTTTTTTTTGGTTTGTTTTTTGTTTTTGTTTTTCAAGAACACTGGTGATGTGGAAATCATTACTTTCGCTTCAACTTTTCTCCTTTTTATTTCAGCTTCATCCAGGGGATTCAAGCATAACCGTCGCCCCCTACTTCACGACGCCCGAGCTTCCCTATTTTTAGTTCATTGTTAGATGCAGTTTCCAATTAATTTAAGATAATTCATTCATTAATGAAACAGACATGTGACTCGAATATCAACGATAACCCCACAACCATTGTATACATATTGCTATCGGCAAAATCTGTCTTATACATTTTGTGGTTTGAAAGCGATTAGCTTAAAACCCAAACGAGTCTACCTTAGCTATGTTATTGTAATCCACTCACCGCTGTAATTTATTAGATAAAAGCTTTTCCAAGGTTATTACTGTAGTGCTCATGCAATGATGCGGCTTACATTAATCTTGAAACGAACACCGACTCTCACGAACCCCATCCTCTTAATGTTTTGGAAGACCATTTCTCACCTGGATTCCAGCGACAGGTGATGTCTTCATGACTTGTTTGCTAGTGCGAACCACGGATTCGTTTTGGAAACACAACGCATTGGTATAGTACAGTTAACATTTTCCAGCAAAAAACAAAGGCTTCGATGCTGGTAACTTACCAGCATCGATGTGCATGCTCATAAAATCTCTATATATGTAGATTTTGAGCATGACCGCTACAACTACGTGCGATTTGCAGTTTTAATCAAGGTGAAAAATCTTTGCCTGGAAAACACGTGAAATGTAGCCTGGGGGGTTGAATTACTGAGTTCACTCTGCTGTAAAAGGTTTTCAGATAGACAATCTCCACGGAGACTATTTCAAGATGTTACATTTAATAACGGGTTTTGCCCTAACAGCCGACGGCTGGACCGACCAGCCAATCTCAGCAAGCTCGGTGGTCGAGAGGTTAAGACTTCTGGACTAGTAGGCTGGAGGTCGTGAGTTCACGTCCTGCCCGAGTAATAATCAAGTTTGTGGTTTTTTTTTCGCAAGCTTTCAAACAAACACTGAGTACACAGTATAATGAATATACGTTGGTGTTTTGGGGGAAGAAACATGGAACCCGTTACAAATCTTCTAAATGCAGACTGAATAGGCCTGTACAGGAATTGCTGGGTATGTCACATCGGCCCCGTCACCATCTTGTCCCTCACCGAAGACATGATGCGTACCTGGTTATTACTTCGTGAACAAAGATACATTTTTGTACAGAACAGTTTTCTTGACCTAGCTAAACGCTTTCAGAACTCATTTCGTTGTCTTGGGGGAGGAGGACAATTCCGTTTCTTCTTCACCGCCACCATACGAGTTGATCAACTGCTGCCGAGCATCCATTTTATCTGCAACAGGGAAATCATTACATCGGAAAGCACTTTAGGACCTCGTAAGGGGCAAAATTAGCTGTATTTTTTGGAAGGATTTCAGTTTTGAACCGGCCCAAGCTAGTTACCTTTCTTAACAAGATGGCCACTCAAACACCACATGTACCTGTATTTAAGAAATAATTGAAAAAAAATAGACTTCAAAAATTAGCAATATTAGATTAGTTCGAGATAGCACCGTGGATACATCACTTTTGGGTATGTGGGGTTCTGAAAAGAAGAAATCATTCAAAGAGAAATATAGCCATGGTGCTACCGCAAACCTGTTTAGTTTACTTACTACCTCCACGATGAAAAGCTTAAAATCTCACTTGGCAAAATTCATGGAGTGAATTTACATTTTGTTTCTTGCCATCAATTGTACCACGCAATTCTGGTTATCCTAAGTTAAATACACGTTATCATCGTCCTTATATCGCCATCATCATCAAACTTATCACCCACATCGTAATTAAATTCAACATCATTACAACCACACTCAAGTCAACAACCTGTCAATGAGAACCTTTGCCCTTGTCATCAGCGTTTCAGTTGAAACTCGAAGCCCCCAGACAGACCTAATGAGTCCGAGACCGACAACTGAAGATCCACAGGCGAGAAATCTGTTTTATAAAAATCAATGTCTCCTGCGTGTCGAGACCAATCCAAAGATGGTACATGTAAATGGCTGGAAGATTTCCGCAAACATTCCGGTATGAGAAATGTCCCGGTAGTTTCAAGGTTGTGATTTTTCACCGTCTCGGTCTCTGATTCCGACTTTTGTGTCCCGATAACACATAATTACCCCGACTAAGTCTTCGAGTTTGATTTTTTAACTCACAGTTCAAAAAAAACTCCTTCACAAAAATTTGCCACAAAAAGTGTGACAACACATAACGTAACTAGGGCGAAATTTCTGAGGGAGGGGCAACCCTTAGTTACGTCATTGCATTCCGGTAGGTCCATATACCATCCCAGCCGACTATCCGCAGTTTTCACACCTGTTTTGTCGTCAGTTTCAAGTGCCAATATAATCTCCAAGTTTCCGTATTCGATAATTGACAAACACCCTCAGAAACTTCATAAGCAGTGCATATTAACTAAACAGCAAAACTTACGTTATTATGGATAAAAATGTGACCAAAAGGATGCCCATGACCAGAAAGGGTAGGCGTGGCCAGATTGGCAAGGTAGCGGTGTATAGAAGTTGGAAAAGGGCTCTTCCTGAGAGATGGCATATTGTTTGAATAAGCATCGTACAGGCAAACACAGCCCCTGAAATCAAATGAGAATATACAACCTTATAATATGAAACGGAGAGAACATTAATAGAGTCTACTAGTAATTATACATAGTTTTTAATTTGAGGTTATGGCACGCCAAATTCGGAATTTATTCTACACTTCACTGCAAATATCAACATTATAAACGATGCTACAACTTACATTACACGCAACATTTAAAACATATCTCTCAAAAAACTATTTGTTTCCAAAAATATAAACAGTTTTCTGAAAACAGATCTCACGAGAACGAACTGGAGAATTTTTATCTCATACAAACAAACTTTGGAAAAATATATACCTCGTACAAACAAAGTCGAAAAAAATATATTTCATAAAATGAACTTCGAACAAAATATACTTTGCGTTGTGGAAATATATACTTCGAGGGCACTACAGGGCTTTCGTACTATTCACTCTTAATAATTACCGAATTCATTAGAATCTACTAGCTTGCACTTGATGGATGAAATGAGCGTGTTCGGAAATCCACTTAAACATCCAACCAAAGGCACTGCAAAGAAATTGATAAAGGGTTTTTAAAATTGACATCTATGGGGGCTTTAAGACTTTGCGTGGTAGCCATCTTGCATGGCAGAACAAAAACACTGGCCTGCAAGATGACAGCCTTGCTATCCTTCTCTAGGCCTATTCTTTACTTTATTACCGAACCCTAAACCTTGATTGACAGAATTGTAATTGTACCAAGACGTAACTCGGTGGACGGCCAATCCCACAGCATTGTTTTACTTGTAGGTTCTGGGTCAAGCTTAGCCAATGGATCATGGTGGTAATAAGATGATCATCGCGCTTAACGTTTTGTTCATTATGTTTTGTGAGGGATTAGTCGTCACCGACCATCTTGGGTATAAATGACAGAGGGTACAAGCGAAAGTTGTGACTAAACTTTTATGATTATGCGAGGCACATTTTACAGGTACGAAGTGAAGTCGAATACAGGACCCATCATCGGTATAACATTTCAAAACAGTGTCCCTTCTCAGTAAGTCATAACTGCCAAACTCATGACTAGAACAATGAGGCATGCCAATGAGAAATCAGAAAAAGGGGAAATATTGGTAGTTTTCTCAGGCCCCCCCCCCGTTTTCACAGGCGTACATCGCATGCAACGATTACCATTAAAAGGCATTTCACAAGAAAGCCTCAGGGAAACAACTGGCCTATATACCTAGCATCATCATGAGGGTGTTGGAGGCAAAGGCCCTCAGCACAAGCGAAGCCGACGATGACAACAACGTGATCATGGCGAGGATCATGTCCGATCGGATACTCCAATGGCTGATGTGCACGTAGAGCAGCGGCATTCCCACGGCCAGGATCATACCCCTGACGGCATCCTTAACGGAGAGGTACGCGAGGAGGGTGAAGGGAGCCCAACTCAATGGCGGCTTGCTGGTGTACAGGCGGGTCAAGTCAATTTCCCCTGACGGCAAAAGTCAGAAACAATCAAAATGAACCATACACAGAAAAAAATCCTGAAGGGGCATTCAGGGCTCCTTACGCAGGCATTGACAATGATCCTGTTAAACCAGGAGACGATGAATAAAAGTGCATTCCTGCAGTGGCATCTCGCTCGAGGGGTAGGGCGTTTAGGAACGCTCGCGTAACAAATGTACACTAGCAGCGTCATTTATCCACGGATTAGTATAGTAGAGTTCCCTAACGTTGTGCACTGCGACTTCCACGTGGCTTTCCTTGTACACTGTTGCTAAATCTCTTGTTGAAAAGCAACAGCAAATTAATTGGGTTAAATGCTGGTGCTATATCCTCATAATACACGCCACTGAACCTTTGTTGATTTTTTTTTTCACCCGAAATCAAAATATGGCGGCGTCCCGAAATTGAGCAAAAACTCAGCTGAATGTTCCCCAATGTGGCGCACCTAACAAAAAATAAAAATCAGAAAATCCCATATGAACATTTAAGAGGTTCTATTAAAGTTGATAAATTCTAATGAATCATTATTACTTCCACTTCATAACTAACCACAAGTTCGTAAGAAAATCATTAGGGGCGCACTTTAAAGTTCATTTTGCACTTCATATAAGAAACAAAATCGAGGACAAACTCGTGTTCGGGTTCACTTTTCGCCTCCTATTTAATAAGGTATTTCGACATATCTGAATATTTCAAACAATTGTTAACAATTGAGATTATATGTGAAATTTTATAGCATTTCACCGGGAACTTAGTACCCCCATATTTTCACGTTCAATTTCTGTAATCGTTAGCATGTTACAATTCCTTCAACTAGGCCTATAGTTATACGAAAGCCGATTTGTGATAAACAGTGACATTTATTCATACACGGACAGAAATAGGCTGGGTGAATTTCTGCCTGCTACAGCGTAACCCATCTTGTTTCGAGGCGTCAAAACTTAAAGAAGTCGATAAAATGGAAGCTTCATTAAAAAGCTCCTCCCCTGTGCTCAACTCAAAGAAGGCTCTGGCGACGTCAGAGTTATAGCTCATTTTCACAGAACAGGCCAAATTTTCTTTTGTTTTTTGGGTCGTGTTCTTATTGATTATTATTTAATCCAACTGTATCCTGGATGATGCCGAGAGTTCTTTGTAAAGTTTGACATACATGTATGTTCATTTCCCAATAGACATTCGTGTCAACATTCGCTTAAGGGATCGTTAGCCTAATTTCAGTTTGAATATCAACCTCTGAAGATGTAAGTTTGTTTAATCGTTGGCAGTATTAAGCTTACCCTGATTTATTTGAATTTGTATGGCGTCAGTTTTACGAACCGCAAAGTCTTAGGAAATTCAGTTTCTTGTATCGATCGCAGGGTGTATCTATCGGATGATAGTTTCAACAGGCCATCAGCGCATGCCCATCCTCTCCCGTCCATCCTCTCCCATTCCCATCCATCGTTTGCAATGCATTCGGCACTCAGTCAAATTATAACCTCATATTTTCGATACATTAAGCAATCCTTCCCATGGAGGTCAACCTGCTCCAACTGCTTTTTTTTACCCCTCAACCTACTCCACTGTTCATTCTCATCCATACAGAAGGTCGCATGCTGTACCAGAATTTGTTTCTGTCATTAAAAATTCTACAGACATGCATGTGACCTTTTCATTTTTTTGTCAGAAAAGGTTAAAGTGTGCCAGAGAGTCCACCACTTGATTGATCGTGTTTAATAATTTGCTTGGGATCACTGTGTACTTGGAATGAAAGCTTGCAAATACACCAGATCTTTAATCCATCCATTTTAGTCCCGTTTTAGCGCAATGCTTGGACCAGCCGTAAAGTTTTCTTTCATCACACATGATGGCAAGAGTTCCATACCACATCACTTGACATCCTGTGCAACGGCGGTGTGGCTGAGGGGACGTGCCCCCCATGAAAATCGCCCCCCCCCACACACACATTTGCATTTCAGAAACGGAAAAATTTTCGAACCCCAAAACCAAATAAGCTGCCAGTCAGCCCCCTCCCCACTTTAGCGTGAAGCCCACCGCTTGCCCCCCCCCCGTTCAGAGTCCTGGCGACGCCGCTGCTGTGCCCAAACCCTATGAGACTCCGCCAGGTACACACTTTTTTATTTTACGGCGTTATAACGCCCGAATACGGGGTTGTAACGCCCTAATTTAGGGCGTAAAACGCCCTAATTTCAGGCGTAATAAACGCCCTATTACGACGTAATAACGCTCTACGGCGCCCACGCAATAACACGCGTGGCTCCTTTTATGCGCATAGTATTTGGAACGGTTACTGTGGCCATGCTTGGACGGTTCGAATCTTATAAGGTATATGATAAAAGCCCCTTTGTCTGCAGGGAGCAGAGCGTTATTCCCCGCAATCGGTTGTTATAACGGACGTTAATAGGACGTTATTACGCCTTAAAATAGGGCGCTGTAATGCCTTAAAATAAAAAAGTGTATTCCTGGCGGAGATCAGCCACCGTATGAACCTGATATTCCACACAGACATGAAACTGAGCAAAATCTAGTCAAAGTTTTTGCTTCTTGGAATTTTCTGTTTGGTGAGAACAATACTGCCTTCTATATTTAAAAAATTAGGCCACCCTAGCTGTTGAGATTTTAGCAAATAAAGATATGATATTACTCTACACATTCATGCATCTATTTAAGAAAGTTTGAAAATTTGGCATATCAGGTTCATGCATGGGCCACAAAATTCAAATGCTTCAGTATTTGCCATTCATAAGTTGGGCTTTTGGGTATTCTAAGTTGGGCATGTTATAGTTGGCTGATGTCACTGTCGAGATAGCGATATCCATGTCTAGAAATCTTCCCCACGCACAGTCACAACCATCGAAACACTTGTGGCACTGTCGAATAAAGTCTGAGAAGCGCCCGTAACTAAGCTATAGACGATTTTTAGAAAAGAATGAGCGAACTGAAACAAACGAAACCCACAAAGTAAATTCAGACTAGATTTTGTTACGAAATACCTTTTCAACATTTCGCACCCACAACTAAAATAAAATGGACCATGTACCTGAGGATCCGACTGAGGACAATACGCCGACTGTCTGGTTGATCAGTAGCAACTGCCTCCTATTCTCTGTCCTCCATATCACATAAATCATCAGAGTCCTTCTCAAACTCCAGCCAACAACAGAGCAAATACTTTGGGGCGACTGACCACTGGTCACACCACCAGAGTCCCTCGAGTTGTCCTGAAACGCTCGAACATCGACCGTCTCCTCTAGCCAGTAGTGGACGTAGGCAAGAACAGCCACTTGGCTGAGAATAACGATGAAAAAGACTACGGCGTAGTAGTCGGTGTGGAGCAAGGGAGAGACCAGTACCATGCCGATTGGCCCACCTATCAACCCCATAGACTCCATAACCCCCAGCCGGAAACTTCTATCTGAATGGTCTGTGATATCGCATATACAGCTCATGGTGGCGATGTAAGATGCCTGGTAGAAACCGAACAGACCCGTCAGGGCCGAACTGAAGAACATATAGTACAGTGGGAGAAGTAGGAAGTAGGACTGCATTAAACAACTAACAGATCCCAGTATCAGGCCTAGTGAGGGTAAAAGAAGGAGCCCTCGCCGACCAAATCTATCACTGGCTGAGCCGAACACACTCGAGACCAGGATACCGAGGAGGTTTGCACAGATGTCGAGATAGAAACAAAAAGATGCAACATCTTCTTGAATCGCTCGGCTGTAAGAGGTGTTCCCAGCCAGGTCCGGCGAGCCTTCACCCTTACCACACATTGTTTCATTGAGCCTTGAAAGACATACCTTCCGGTGCACTAGGTCCCTGCTGGCTAAGGAGTGCATCGCAAGCGCCATTGTGAATAAGAGCCTAACTGGTTCTACCGTTACCATACGCAGTACCCCCATTATGACTACCAACTCAACGGTGGACTCCAGAGTTGATGATAGGTGGAAACGGTCAAGCACACCCGTTCAATTCTGCTCGTCGGCTGGGTTCTCTATTTCTATCTCCTTGGTTCTGATTCTCTCATTCTAACAGAGAACAGTGCCAAAACTGCCACATCAACACTTATAATTTATGTAATATGTTCACTCGATTGTGACAGGTGTTTGAACTGGTACAAAGTACGTGTACATGTAGCAGGGTATAGGGAGGCGGCATACTCGACAGGCATAAATATTCACAATAGATGTATAAGTGATATGCGTGGCAGCCACTGATCAGTGCTTTTGTTATGGGGGTCACGCACATACACGTTGTTTCCCTATGGAAAAAAATCACAGAGAAGACGGCTGCCGTGCATAACCCTTTACCTTCGGAATTTTCTTATGAACAATAGCGGTCCGATGTGCTTCAGGTAACAGGCTTCCGTCCTTTTCACTGTAACAAAACACATCCCCAAACATGGAGGGAAAACCTCGGTGCGCCGGCCCGGCCCTGCTCCCAGCAAACCATCAAGGGCTTCTCTGCACGGCTCCACCGTCTCAGTGGTTCCATGCCAGCGTCCTTCCCTTTGGAAGTATACCCAGCAAGAAATGAGACCGAGGGGTACCCCCCCAACATGTCAAATCCCTATACACATTCTAGACTATTGTTAATAACCCCCCCCCCAGATGTCTGTAAGGAATTCCCCAGATACCTGCGAGACAATGACCAACACAAAGCAGGGGGGGGTTCTCTCCGTCTCATACCTTGCTGCATATGTTTGGAAGTATAGCCTTTTACAAGCCTCGGAATTTGTTGATTCCCACTGTTGCCGGTGTTATATGTGAGAGTCATTGCAGCTGCAGTCTCAATGAGGAACGAGGAATCCGTGAAATTGAAGTCAAGGACCCGCCAACTCAAAATATCCCGGTGAGCATTGATGTGCTGAGGCTTTTCCAGACTCCATGGGCTTAAAAACCAGACCTTGATATGGCTCATAGTGCTCGGTGTGACAGCTGCCATCCCGAGAGTTACACCTACAGTGCTCTGAAAACATCCGAGGCTTTCGTACCGAGCTCATGGCAACATCCGAAACTTTTGTCCTGACAAAGTACAAGAGCGCAGCTCTGGATTCCTGTTCTAGATAGGGAAAAGTTTTGATTTTGCTGAATTTCCCAATTTTATTCCATGCATTTTAAAGCTACGCCTCGGGAAATTGGCAGCGAGCGGCACTACCGTGTAAACGGTTTCGCATACGTTTTGCTGCCACCAACTCCAACGAACGGGTGGATCGATAATCGAAGTGGTTATATTGATGCATTGGGCCTGGGCATGAGTTAAACTGAAGTGACGTCACACCGACGAACCCGTGATGACTTTACACTTTGTTTACGTGTAATCTTTCAATACATGTACATGTGCATGTATGTAACTTCATAGGAAGCTTAGCTTCCACGCAAAGTGTGACATCATTAGTACGAAGGTCTTTAAGACCCTGTTTTCATTTTTGGAACTTAGGCCTATAGCAACAACCAAAGAATTAAATTTTCTGCAGGCAAAATTAATACCGGTTACTCTGATGAATAATTTCAAATCTGTGATAAAGCGTACCTTTAGTATTTTACGCCAGATTTTGAAAAAAAAAACAAGGTAAAGGAGCTAGACTTGGAACACGGAAATCCTAAAATAGTGGCCATCCCATTTAACAGTAAAAATCATTAAAAAGATTCGAAGAATCAAATCCAAAACGTTTCCTCTGGTTTTAATCCCCTGTGATGGGAAATGTTTAAAATCGCAAATATTTAAAATCTGTTAGGCATAACCAAACTTTGTACCTTTCCCGTCTAGTCGGTATTTGCACCAGTGTGACAACAGAAGCCACCAATCATGAATGTTACTAGGAAACCTATTTTGCACAACTTTCTACACCCTTGGCATCTGCGGTGTTTGAGGATAACCTTTTTGAAAAGACCGCTTAGTAAACTGTCCAAGCTTTACCTGACAAAATAATAGTCAGCGATTTCATTGAAGGAAAAGTCTGTTCATTTTTATTGGTATTTTTTCTAAATTGGAAACCTAAACCAAAATGTGTTCATATTTGTGAGAAAACTTTTCATACTTGCCTACTCCTATCCAGAGAAATAACAAAGAATCACGAAAGAAAAAACTGAAAATCAAGAAACAAAATAGTCGAAAGAATGGTAAATTTTGACTCTGAATGCGACAATGAAGTTCCTCAGGAATGTCACTACACCTGTCTTCGTGAATATGCAAATTTGCATCAGCATAAAAAGCGAAGTGGCACCAACACGCCCATAAATAAAAATTGAAAATAATGTTGAATAGAACACATGGTGCATTCAAACGAAGTTACAAAAATAACACAGCATGGCCCTTCATGTTACTACTGATACAGGTCTCGTCGAAGAAAGTCTTGAATTTCACAGAAAAGAAACCATAATTTGATTACTTGAAAATAACAATATAAAATTTGCGTAACTATACAAATTAGAGCATTTTCCCTTTTGATAAGCTCCCACCTGTTTATAGTCGACAAATGCATATTACTACACGTACCGTTTAGTACCCTAAATTCATGCATACAAGTATTCACGCATCTATCTCATCGTGAAACTCTTGAACGAAATTGCACTGACGTTAATTTATTGTAGATGATCGATCGTCACTTCGGCGTTTTTCTTTCTGCAGCTTTGTGCGATTCAAAGCTTTTTCAGTGAGAATTCAGGAAAAATGTCAGCAGAGCGTAAAGTTTTGCTTAACAGACTAAATAAAAAAATGAACCGGTTGAAATTCGAACAAAATGCTGGCTGTTCGCTCACGATTGCTGTTGGGTTTCCGATAATGGGTGCCCGATAATGGACTGGTCCAAAGATCGCTATGCGCCCACGCGGCGCTATACGATCTTTGGACTGGTCCCTGTCCTTATTCAGAGGACGTGACTGAACTAGAATCACACTGATCACAAATGTCTGAACGGCTCTACCCATACGACACTAAATTGTGTTTAACAGGACTGCGAATTCACCGTTACTAGTATTTCACATATAGTCCACCACTATAGCTCGTAATGATGATACTGTCTCGATCTTTAGCTGTATTCCCTTCCTTCTCTCAATACTGCCAATTCATCAGTGAAACTTGTCGTACTAGATACATACAACCTGAGACACTTGTCGACACCTGGCAACCATTTCCAACGACAGGAATCGACGATGATGCCGTTATATCCAGTTTAATCGCTAGCTCTGGCGGTCTTGTAGTGCTGCTAAGTCATGGAAAATTTTCTCGATGCAAACCCCCAAAATGATTCCTTTTGTCCGGTGAAAACTGCACCGACGGCTTAAAAGGGGATTCAAAAGTGGCTCTTGACCCTATTCGGTGCATTCTAAAGTACTTATGCCAGCATATTAATCACTACACAACCGCATCGTCCATTTCGGAATCTTCAGTTTCGCTCAGAAGTTTCACAGCAAACTCCCGATCTTCTGAAAAAAAAAAAGAGTGACATTTTCAGTGATACATCATGCGGTCATTTTAATACAATGTACTTTGCACAGAAATAACTGAACTAAATAGATTCCTAGTTAGATGTAGTGAACCCGTGACACACAGTGACAAGAAACAAGAGGAAGGGTGATTACTTTGGCAAGGTTTGAAATGGACATGCACTTTCCGAGACACACATTATACATGGATATATATTTGTAGAAAAAAATAGGATTTCTTGCTACATCTCTCCTATTTCAGATGTTTAAAAATAGGAGAGAACCTTGGTCTGTACAATCTTCAAAGACATATTAAAGGGATTTATTTTAATATTGAGTGGCATTAATTGCAGAAAGAGATTATTTTTCACAAATATTTACTTAGCCCCTTCACCCTTACCCTTAGTGGTATATAGGAAGGCAGGTTTGTGACCCAAATATATTTGAAAGCAGTCAACATCTCGTGAAAACATACTGACTAGAGGTACTGGGCAATTTTTTTCCTCAAATCTTGGGACTATAGTCGAGTTGACTGTCAACTCTACCTACCGGCCGGTGTGTGGTTCTCATTCAGTTTTACATCTGCCATGTCAAGCCACAGGTAACTGCCAAGGGGAAAATCGAGAGCGAATCATACCAAGATATTTGGGCTACGCTTACGCGCGATGCATTTACTTTGCTGGATAAGGCCACAGCGAGTAACATGTATTAATGGATTGGCAGCGTTGCTGTGGTTTAAGTTTGTACATATCGCAAGCAGAAATCGGTAACAAACAATTGTGATTTTGATAATATAAAGTTTAAGATTTTAGTAACACGTTCAGGGAACAATGTATAAAACAAAGCATTTGCCTTTTTTTTCAAAGATGGAACATTTGAATAAAGCGCCAAAA